GGTAATTTTTGTTTTTGTGCCATAGTTTAAAAAACTTTCTCTATTCCAGCATTATAAAGATTTTGTTTATCTTTAGAGGATTTATTATTTTACCTTTTATGTTTCAGTCTACAACCATTTTGAAATTCACTGTTGCATTTTTTGAGGAAATATAGGCCAATTTCTCCATCAGTATCCAGTTAGTGTATGTAGTGAAAAACATCTGTTTCTTGACCTCTGCAATGTAGAGTTAGAAGTCAGGTATACATAGTGCATATTCATGTCTCTACTGTTCTGTGTGGCATCCACTATGTAGACTGCTAAAAATGAAATTTCATTTAGGTTTGAACACTGCAGTTTCATCATTGCAGAAAGTTTGTGTATTGGAAGTTTCTTCGTTCTCTGCTGTTGATCTATTTAACCCATTTCCTAATGACTTATTTTATTAATTACAATATGTTTTTAAAGTTTGCTTTCTGAGTTAAAAATCTCTCTACCTTGTTCTTTTTAAAGGTTATCTTGACTGTTCTTGACCATCTGCATTCCCATTTAACTTTTAAAGTCACTTCATCAATTTCCCCGACTGTCTGAGGAATTTTATTATGATATTTACCATATAAATTATTTTGAAAGAATTGGTATTCCTAAAATTGACTCTTCCATGCCAGTGAGTATGATGTTTCCCTCCATTTATGTAGTTTCTGTAGTTTCTCTCAGTAATGTTCTACATTTTCATTGGGTTTACTTCAGGGATTTGTGGTTGCCGTTGAGTTTCGTACCTATATGTTGGTATAGGATAATGCATTTTTATATGGACTTTGTATCTCTTAACCAGTTAAATATTTATCTTTATAAAAGTCAATCTGTAAGCACTCTTCTAATTTTATTATGTACTTTCATGTTATCTGTAAATTATGAGTTTTATGTCTTTTTGTTCTCTTTTACTTTTATACTCTAACAAGCTAGAAAATGATAAAATGACACATCGTTACAGTGCGAGGAAGAGGGGGGGAGGAGATGACAAGCTAAAGGAAATTGTCACCATCAGACCCTCATATCAGATATTAAAGGTTGTTACATGGGTTGAAGGAACATTGGACAGTTGAGGTTATGGAAGTGGCATAAGTTGTGGACATCTTTAGAGAGGACTATTGAAAATTATTGATGTTTGAAAAACATGATAATATCGATAGGACTCATGTAGAGTGTGGTACATAAAAACAAAATGAAGTCAAACTGATATGAAATTCTTGCATTACTTGGGGCATTGAAAAAGAACTAGATTGAAATAGACAGTAGGAGTATAGGTTTATACTTTGAAGTAAAGACAAACTAAAATGGACTTGCCCTAGCATAGACCAAGACCAAACTATTGTAGGATTAAGGTGATCATTCTGAAATATAATTGTGTGCCAAAACAAAATTTAAAAGACTCCTCAGTGGAAGATAAGTTATCTAGAACTCTTAAGAAATAGCATCTAGCATACAGTAAGTTTGTTCTTTGTAATTTCTAGGGAAATGACTAAAAAGATATTAAAAATATCAGAAAAGCTGGTAGGTAAAATAAATGGATGATTAAAAAAGAAAAGAGGAAATATGGGAGAAAAAAAGATGTGATGAATGAAAATTTTAATAATGTGGTACAAATCCTAAAATTTACCAATAAACTCAATTTAAAAAATAATAATATGGTACACTTAAACCAGACTGTATTGGTAATGTAAATGGGTTAAAGACTAAAGTGAATATAAAGATTGTCAGACTGTGTAAGCAAGACCTATTATATTCTCTTTATAAGAAAAGCACAGACTTAATTTGAAAGCACAGATAAGATGGAAATAAAAGATAAATTAAGTGTTTTTTATTTTCTTTTACTAAGGATTGAACCCAGGGTGTACACAGTAGGCAAACACTCTATCACTAAACTACATCCCCAGCCCTATTTTAAATATTATTTTGAGACAGGGTCTCAGTGAGTTGCCTAGGAGGGTGGAAGAAGTTGGGATCCTCCTGCCTCAGCCTCCCAAATAGCTGAGATTACAGGTGTGTGCTCCCAAGAAAGTTGATAGGAGTATATTAGCGCCAACATAGATTTAAGGAAGAAAGTATCATGAGAGATTAAGATGAAAATGATGTAATAAGTATCCATCTGTCAGGAACACATAATCCTACTATGTGTTTGCCTACAGCTTCCAAACAGATAAGGCAGAAATTAATGTAACTAAAAGACAGATCTGTATTCACAGATGGAGATATATCTAAAGTAAAGTAACTTAACATCAGTTAAATAAAGATATTTGTAATTGAATATTTGAATGGCAAGATTAATCAACTTGATCTAATTGACATTTATGTGACATATCTAATAACTGAAGATTGTGTATTATTTTTAAGTGCACATAAAACATTGCCAAAATATTCTGAGCCATACATTCTTTTCAGAAGTTTGAAATTATACACTAATGTTTTATGACTGCTATCAGATTAAATCACAGTTCAGTGACAGAAAAATAACTAGAAAAACTTCCAGTATTGTATTTGTAAATTAAGTTGTCTATGTATGAAAAACAAAGTTGCTGTGTGACTTAGAAAATATTTCACGCTGAAAAATAATTATTACAGATCAGAATTTCTGGAATGCAACTAAAGAATGCTTAGAGATTAGTAATGAAGGTAGATTGGAAGTCAATATATAATACCTTTTAACTTAGAAGTAACAAATCCCCCAAATTAGAAAGAAGTTGTATAAAAAAAATAGAAATCAGTGTCCTTAGAATATTTTTATTTATAAAAACCTGCAATGAACTGATTAAGAAAAACGAGAGGAGGGATAACAAATTATGAAGACTGGGGATGCAAAAAAGAACTGTCAGTACAGATTCTACTGATTAAATTAAAAATGGCATTGTACTAATACATTTGATATCTTGAAGATAATTTGTGAAAAGCACAGTTTGCCCAAACTTACATGAAAAAAAAAAAATCAGAAATCTGAGTTTGGCTGTGTCTATGAAGGAAATCAAATCTACCAAAGATGTTTTCATAAAACTGTAGGCTTAGGAGGCTTCACTGGTAAATCTTCATTTAAGTGAGATCTAATATCGGATTTGCTAGGCTCTACCAGAGAATTAAAGGGAGGCACAAATGTCTCAGAACACTTTATGATTTTGACATAATAAGAAAGCCTGATAACAGTGTCACAGAGCAATTATTGGTCAGTATTTCTTAAGATATAAACATAAGAAAGTGATATGTGAAGATATGTTATGACTGTTGTTCGAGGAATGCAAAATTGTTTTAAATGTAATCCATCACTGTATCAGAATAATGAAAAATCTATAGGGTCATCTCTAGATTTAGAGAAATCATTTAACAAAATTCGGTGTGTGGTTTGTTACAAATTCTTATTAAACTAGGAATGGAAGGAAACATCAATTTGATAAAGTATATTGACAACAAAATATATGCTTAGCATCATACTCGTGAAAAACTGTTGATTCGTGCTGAGTAAATATATCTCCCTCTTTTTTTATTAGAGTACAAATCAGTACCCTGAGGTAAACAAAATGCATATAAAATTTAGAAAGGAAAGAAGTAAAATCCAAATTTAGCAAGGTGATGATTGGATACAAGACCAGTATACAAAAATTAATTGTAATTTGTGTACCAGCAACAAAGAAGGGTAAAATAAAAATTTAAATATACATTTAGAGTAGCACCAAAATATGTAAGGTAACTAAGAATATACCTATTAAAACTTGGACAAAATTGCTATTCTGAAAATTGCAAGATTATGCTGAGACTTATAAAAACACTTAAATGGAGAAATAGTCCGTGTCTGTGTAGTAGGAGATTGAATCTCTTACCTTACACACACATGCTTGATCTCTTAAGTACAGTGTACCCACAATTAAAATTGCAGAATTGGTGGTGGGGGGAGCTAAGGACTTGGGTTGGCACATTTAAAAACGTCATTAAATGCCAGTATTCCTGTTGTCAGTACTTACTGTAAAATTAGAGTAATTAAGACAGTGTTATTTTAGAATAAATATAGATTAAAAGGCCAAGAGAAGAACATAAGCGTCTAAATAGACTTTCATATTATGTGATTTCTTAATTTATGACACAGTAAGACAGTGTTATTTTAGAATAAATATAGATTAAAAGGCCAAGAGAAGAACATAAGCGTCTAAAATAGACTTTCATATTATGTGATTTCTTAATTTATGACACATGACCCATTGAACTTACAAAGAGTTTATTATTAATGAGTTGTGCTAGGTCATCTGTATGCTCATTGGGAAAAAACAATCAGCTTGACTGTTAACCAGTACTATATTCAGAGGTCAATTTTAGTTGGACCATAGCTCTAAATTTAAAAGATAAAGTTGTTATGCTCCTAGGAGAAAACCTGGAAGAGTATTTTCATGACCTTGGGCTAGGCAAATAAGACAATATGTAAATTAGAACACACAAAGTTAAGAATTTCTACTTTTCAGCACATCATTAAAAAAGGGAAAAGGCAAGCCATGGACTCCTAGAATGTATTCACAGTAAAGGAATCTGCTCAATGATTCGCCCTGAAAAAATGTAATTAACTTACAAATCTATAAACAAAATTGTAAACTGATTTTTTAAAAATGTGTGAAAAATAAACAGATTCTTCACAAAATAATTCATTGAAAAAGACCAGTGGTCATAGGTGAAGTTTCTCAAGATGCTACGCATCAGAGAAATGACACCCTGAGTGATGCTACATTCCTACCAGAGTATTGAAATTAAGAGAATGACAGTATCAAATTTACTAAGGTAGGAAAAATTTGATACTCATATATTGATGGTGGGAGTGCAAATTGGTTCACTTTAGAAAACTTGCAGTACCTGGTAAAGTTAAACATAGGTTATAGATACCTAAGTAAGGTGAAAAACATGTACAGCATAGATGTGTGAAAGTAGATGGACACGAAGGAGTTCATACTGTATGATTTCATTTGTATGAAGGTTAAAACAGGAAAACTACTTTGAGCTAATAGAAGTCATGAAACTGGCTGCCCGTAGATTGGGGGAGGTAATGACTTGGAAGATGGAACCTTCTGAAGTAATGGTAAGTTCAGTATCTTGATCTAGGTGGTAATTGTTCAAATTAATGTATGTATAAAAATGCATTAAACTATACACTTGAGAGTTATGTGTAAATAACTCTTCTGATTATTGCACAGAAAAGGGAAATACTTTGAAGGCTTTTATTAAAAATTCCATGCTCTGCCAGGTGTGGTGGTGCACGCCTATAATCCCAGCACTTGGGAGGCTGAGGCAGTACGATCTCTGTGAGTTGGAGATCAGCCTTGGCTACAAAGTGAGTTGCAGAGCAGTCTGAACTACATAGTGAGACCCTGTCTCAAAATGCAAAACAAAAACAATTTTTTTCCATGCTCTGTAGAGTACTAGAGCTCCCATGTACACTTCAACAGTTTGCTATACTTCTTTCTCTATCCCTTGCCCACTTATCTCACACAGTGACTTTTTTTTAGCACATATGTAAATGTTTAAGTATTAAGATATTTGAGCATATTTTATTTTAATCATCAAATGAAACTTATTAAATTTCGATGTGTATCACATTGACTTTTTAAGTTTACATAGAGCATTGAGTTTTCTTGTAGAGCTATTATTTTTGTTGTTTTCCTTGAACCATTGTCATAGAACTAAATCTTTGCTGCTGCTTTATTCTAAACCAATTTGACTTGCACGTTGCAAAGAAGGGTAGAGTGAGCCAGGAACTTTCTTATTTGTAGCACATTTGGATCAGAAATTTTAACTGAGAGCTAATTTTGAGGAGTATTTTTACATTTCGTTTTCTATTTCCCCCTTAGCCATTTAGTTATACTTCTAGTAAATCAGAAAATCTTATATAGGTCTAGTATGTTGAATATGTGCCCATTCAGTTCCTTCTTCACATACTTCTCTCTGTATTTTCTTTCTAAAAAAGAGAATATCTTGAGAACATAATAATTTATAAACATTTTGGTGAAGTAGAGGCTTTACCATAACAAATTGGAAAAAACAATTTTTCAGATACTGAAATAGAAAATTTTTGTTTGATCTCAAGATCTGTTTCTGATTACATCTACTATGTGCTTGGATCATGTTTTTAATGCAATTTTTGTTACAACAATTTGATTTTATTATTCCTTTTGTATAATGGCATATAATAGCATATATAAAATGTTTTTAGAGTAGCATAAACATGCCTATCATTATATCAGATTACCTTTTGGTTTTACCAGAAGTAGCAAACCCATTTTAGCTCAGAAATTTTAACAGTTATATTTTTTAAATTGCTTATATTTAGACCTTATTACCATTTCTGCACTGGTCCATTTGTAGAATTTGAAAGTGAATGATTCTGCTTATTATCAGCTCCTAAAATTGGAAGGTACAGGTTTCTATATAAGAAAAAATTTTCAGGATATCACATTCTATCAGAGAAAGAAGCACAAAATGGTCCCACTGATTCAGTCAACATTTTAATACATACTGTGCTAGACAGTGTAATAGATAACATTGCATGCTGATAAAAAGAAAATTCAAATAATTTAATGAAGGAGTTAGTTACTTACCTTATGTCTATGCTTTTCTTTCAGTTCCTTTAAATATTATGTATCCTGTCTAGAGTTACTGACATAATCTGAAGTGATAGTAATGACCTTTAGATTAGGAATCAAAAGATTTATAATTAAAACTTATTGATTCACTCCTTTAATTCTGAGCAACAAATTTGTATAATTTTTTAAAATTAATAGGAGTATATGAACTCTCCAAAGCATTTGAAAGGATAAATCAGTTATATGTTACTTATTATGTTATTTATTAGGTAAATAGTACAAGGAACAGACTAATTCAGTAGTCTGTTGAAATTTAAAATACAGACTTGTAACTGATGAATTAACCATTTTAATCTTGCCCCATAAGTATGATCTTTATTCATTCCCTCCTCTGTTTTTTCTCCTTTTTTAATACTTAAGATATGAGTGAACAATGTCAACATAAACCTGATTATAGTGGGCTCAGATAAAGTAATTAATATTTACAGAGACATTCTGATCTGCTTATTTATAAAACAAGGAACACTATTGAAAATAATAAATAGAGAATAAGAAAATAAAAGAAATTTAAAAGATTACATTAGAGAATAATGGAAGGCTAGAAAAGCAAGTGAAAATCTCATGGAGTGAAAATATGAAAGAAACATTTATAGACAAAGGATTAACCCAGATAAGCCAAGTACAGAGAAAAAAGTACAGCATTGTGACACTAATAGAAGACTTTGAATTGAAACAACACAAGCTTAAATCGCATTGTTTTTCTTATATGAGAAATCCAAAGTATAAGTAATTTAAACAGCAAAATACAAGATAGATAATAGGAAACAAGAGTCTTGTGCAAATGGGAAGGGGACCAGGAGATAAAGAGAGGTGGAAAGGGTGGGAGAGCAGGGGAAAGTAAAAAAAAAAAAAAATTATGATGTGTTATGTACATGTACTAATAAAAATTAAAAATAAATAACAGCCTAGCCATGGCTATATTAGATATAGGCCACCCCTAAGGAAGTCCCAGTGAGTGCATTTGTGTTATATCAAATGAAGACAAGATCATATATAATGTACAGAGAAAATTTTGTTTTTCCTACAGGAGAAATAAGTTCACCAGATTATTTTTAATAGGAAAAAAAAATGCTAGTTTAGAAAATATGATTTGGTCTTGTGCTATACTAAATGTGAGGAAAGGATAAAAATACATTTCATACATGCAAGAAATCAAATCCTATATATACTTCCTGAAGCACTTGGAGATCATCTAGTAAAGGGAGGAAAACAGGATTCAAACTAGAGGATTTAGTAGTGCTATCAAAGGATGCTGTGAAAATAGTTGATAATTGGTCTTGAAAACAAAGTAAATTTAGATCAGGCTGGTGGACAACTATGAAATGGATATCTTTAAGAAATTTAAGAACATGATGCTTTTCATGATTCCTGTCCACTTTCTAATTCTTTTACTCTTTCTTTCTTCATTCGTCTCCGACTTTGAATACTGTATTCTGTTACACTATTCTTAGCAAGATCTTTGATATCCTCCATGCTGTTGTACTACTGGTCAGTAGTAGGTCTTCCTCATATTTCATTTTTTAACACAGTGGGTCAGTTCTACCTGAAATACTTTATTCTCTGGACACTAACACTCCTGAATTTTTCACTTCTCTTACTGACCTCTATTGGTTTTTCTGAAATTATTTTCTCCTGGCCTCATAAAGTTGGATTGTGTTAAGACTCCGTCCTTGTTTTTTCTTACTTCAGTGTGTATACTTGGTGATCTCTCCCAGGTTTATACCTTTTTGAGTATTATCTCCTGTACTGACAACTCCCAGATATCGCTAACTGCTCAGAATTCTCCAGTCGACTGCAGACTCCTACTTAATATTTACACTCTAATGTCTAATAGCTAGTTATATAATGTCCAATATCTCAAACTTAACACATCCAAAATTGAACTCAAGATTTTCTCCAGATCTGCTTCTTCATAAAGTCTCTGCATCAGTTAATGACAAGTCTGTTTTTCCAGCAGTTCATCCTGTAAAACTTGGAGTCAACCTCAACTCCTTTCATATTCTGTATCAGTAAATTCTATTGACTCTATTTTCAGAGTATATCCAGAACCCATTTCTTACTTCTGCTTTTACGCTGGTCTAAACCACTGTTATTTCTTGCCAGTGTTATTTTTCTAGTTTTGTAACCCGGCTCCTTGTCTTTGACCTTGTTTTCCTTCATGCTATTCAACACTGGCCAGAGGGGCCAGAGGAGAGGGTTCCTGCTAAAAACAAGTCAGATGATGTCTCTTCTCTGCTCAGAACTGTTTGGTGTTTTTTGTTTTTAATCTCAGAATGAAAGCAACATTTCTAACATTAGCCCATGAGAAGCCTGTGTGATTTCGCCTTCTTCACTCTTCCTCATCTTTTTTTCACCATTAATTTTCTAACTTCATCCATTATTTCCTTGTTCATTATCCTAGATTTGTTATTATTTGATTATTTCTGGAACTTCTCCCTTATCTTCTTTTTATTTACCAGGAATACTCTTTCCCTAGATTTACATAGTTCCTCCATCTTTGTAGATACTTGATTCAGTGACCCCTTGATAATGGAGTTGTTCACCCCACAACTTATTCTTCGTTGCTTTATTTTGACCTGTAGTGTATGTTAACATGTTATGTATTATTTAGTATCTGTCTCATAACATAATTTTGAAGGAGCAGAAATTATTTATCATTTTGTAGATTGTTACATCCATGGTTCTGAAAATAGTGCTTGATACGTGGTAGAAAAAGGCTGTATTCCAAAGTAAAAAGACTTTGAGTATAATATTCATTATATGATATTCTTTATAAATTATTCATTAAGACTGTCATTGTGATTTGTGAAGATTAAAGTTATTTCAGATTGTTTTTCTTATCAAGACAATGTTTATTAGAGGGTATGGTTTTGCCAGTGTGGTTAAGATTACATTTTTATTTATTCTTTCTCTCTTTAGCTATACATTCTTATTTGACCAAGATATAGTAGAGAATCACAACTTTTTGCAGAATTTGTAGTTATATGAGTAAATGTGGTTGTATCTTCTTATGTACGTTGATAGGTAGCTGTCATTGATCAGATTACACTTAAACTCTGTAGAGTTGTTATCTGATAAATTTGCATTAGTGATAAGCAGTAATAGTCCAAGTGTTTAGTAACTAAAGTGTTTAAATAAAATTAAGGTTTTACTAAACTCAAAAAAAGTTGCAGCTTCCCAAATAGTACAAAATGAATTAATTTCGAAACAGAAGAAAGTTTTTATATTTGTTAAATGGTAAGTTATGGCTTTTACTGACTTAGACTAGATTCTTATTTGGAATTAAGTTATCTGGTGAAGTGCCTATTTATTGTTAGGAGTGAGTACATCATTGTCTATACATGTTAATTATTGTTGCTGTTAAACATTTAAAAGTGAGGTATTTTTATATTAATATATAAAATATTTTTAGCTTTTTATAAGTTTACTGTATTTTTATTAGTATGTGTTTGCAGTATATAATTAATTATATTATCTAGGAGATAATATACTTGTACATAACACATCTTAATTCTTTTTTTTGTCCCCTTCTCCTCTCATTCTTCCCTGTTTCAACTCTTAGTCTTCTTCCCCTTTGAAAGAGCTATTTGTTTTTATTTGCTTTTTAAACCCCTTTTTCCCTTCCTTACTCATTTTTTGTTTTGTTTTCTTTTGTACCAGTAATTGAACTCGGGCCCACAGCCAGCAGTGGGAACCACTGAGCCGAACTCCCGGCCCTCCCTTCCTTCCTTCTTTTTTTTTTTGGCTCATTGAGTTTATTGCTCCCTTCCTTATTCTTAAGATCAACAAGAATTTTAAGTTTCAGAGCTAAAAGATCTATAGTACTTGATGAAGCAAAAATAGCACAGTAGAGATGACTCCTAAACAGTTTGCTCATGTAGCCTACTCGGCATTTCTTCCATGTATTTGCTTGTTTGCTTACAAATTTTGTGTTCTCAGTGACAATCATAAGGATGTCATATACTGAGGGGGAAAATATATCAAGAACAGATAGATCTGTTATTTATATAGTCATTTTGATAGTTTTGAGGGTCTTTTTTTTTTTTTTTGAACCAGGGATCGAACTCAGGATGTGCTTGTGAGGCAGGCGCGTTACCACTGGGCTAAATCCCCAGCCCCAAGGGTTTTTGGATTTATACATCAGATCAAGTTACATTTTTCTAAATTACAGGGTTAACAGACTTACTAGAAAGAGAAACCTCAATTTGCAGTTTTTGTTTTATTCTTTTATTACTAAGTTTGTTCAATCCATTATTTTTTGTAGGAATCTTGAAGCTTATCCATTATATGAGTGAAAACTAAATTGCATCAATATTTCTACTGAACTGGGTACACAGAAATTGCCATATATGTCACAGTACACTGAGAAAGAGCCAACAGGTAAGGAAGCTGTCACTTTTCTATATTAAAGCCTTCTTTTTCCCTCTGTGTACTTTAGTAGCATATAAGACATATGTAATATGTGACCTCAGGGACCAGTTTTATTCCATCTATTGAATATTTGTAAAGCTTAATTTTTAATTCTTGATGTAAAAAGTATTCTAAAATTTTCTTGCCAACCACTTGACTTCTGTTTACATTCTGTATTGGAGACTCTTCCTTTGGAGAAGTCATTAAGAGCATTGATTCTGAAATTATTGGACAAGTAACCAAAACCCTTAATATTAACCTTAATTTTTTAATAAAAAATGAAAATCAGTATCCATCTCAAGCTTTTTGAGATGTTTAAATAATGTAATTCTTGATAATGTATGTTATAAACATGTTTATTTTTTTAACCTGCTCAGAAGTGATTTTAATTCTTAATTCAGTGGAGGAAAACTTGTAAAGCTTATTGATTAGTCAGATACCAGATACTGTGAGGAAATATTTTTAGTTTCTGTATAGTATATGTAATATATATAATTGGCTAAGCAAATTTAGACTTAATGCACATGTATATAAATATGTACGTACTATTCAGTAAAAGATGCTACAGTTTACTCCAATATATCATTCAGCAATCAAAACTTAATATTCAGGTTATTTAAATGTTGATGGCTTTTCTTGCCATAATGTATTCCATTCATTTGTAGTTTCAAAAATATAGTGTGGAATCCAGGTGTGGTAGTGCACGCCTGTAATCCCAGCAGTTGGGAGGCTGAGGCAGGAGGATTGCTGTGAGTTCAGACCAGCCTGGGCTACATAGTGAGACCCTGTCTCAAAAAACAAAAACAAAGCAAACAAACAAACAAATAGTGTGGAAAAGCTCTTGTTAAGGAGGGGAAGAGGGGTTGAAGGGAGGGTAGAAGAATGAGAAAAAATAAGAATCAAGATATATCAGGAACAGGTACAAATTCCCTATGATGAATGTGATCATTATGTATACCTAAAATGTACCTATAACCTAATTTTAAAAATATAAAATACCTTCAAAAAACCGCATTTTAGAAGGTATGTCTTTGGAAGAAGAGGCTGCTAAGTCTCATGTAGTATTTTAGGTTTAATGATCTAATGTGTGAAGAAGAATGTTTTATGGTACTGGTAAGGTACACTTGATGTTCAGTAGCACATGATCTGGTCAGTAATAGCATGTATATTGCCAGAATAAAGGTCATTGTTCTCCCTCCTTTTTTTTCCAGTAATGGATCAAGAATCCAGCAAGGCTGCTTGGCCTAAATCAGCAGGAGGCTATCAGACAATTACAGGCAGGAGATATGGAAGAAGACATGCATATGTCAGTTTTAAACCATGTGTGACCAGACATGAAAGAAGTTTAGGCCGGGCTGGTGATGACTATGAAGTGTTGGAACTAGATGATGTTCCAAAGGAAAATTCCTCAGGTATATAGTTACTTCAGGGTTATTAATAGTTATGTAGTGATTAATCTTACAGCATTTAAAATTTAGTAGGTTTTGTGCATATCTATGAGTAAAAATATGCATTTTCTGTCAAATTCTATTTTGAAATTTTTACTGAATTTAATATTAGTAGTATAAGTATATGTGTACATAAACAGAATATGGCCTGTCATTAATGTACAATTACAGTGTCGTGGCAATGACTACATTGTCATAGCCTTTAGCCAGAAATCATTCAAACAAAAAGAAAAGACATATTTAAAATGTGAACTGAAATTATTTTTCCCAGCATACTACATTTAAATAACTTTAATTTTATGTGTAAATAATTTAGCTTAATTAGTGTAACTGTCGTTTTTAAAATCTAATTTTCAGGTAATCCTTAGTTATTCCATTAAAACTTTTTAATCAGTGTTTGAAATGTATTTTACAGATATTCGTGTACTATGTTTATACCTTTGGACTGAGTTCATATTCTTCCTCTTGTTCTGAGAAAGCTAGATAATGCTATTTTGTTTTTACTATCTTTGATGTGTATCAATCCAGATTACTAGCTAAGGTCTTTCCAGTAAAGAAGGTTTTTCCAATAAGATTGATCTTAATTATGTTCTAATTTATAAATTTTTGTTCCAACAATCTTAGTGTCTTTATTTTTCATTTAAAATTAATGATAATGAAAGAATTGTGCTTAAAGTAATTCATAGGCTAGAGTTGATTTAACTTATATCTCAGAATTCTGACAATTAGACTATGGCAAAGAATCAGCATATTGACTTACTTTTCAAACAGTTTTAAATACCTAAAATTAACTCATTATAAATTATTAAAACAATCCATTTTAGGTAAAGAAATCTAATACATTGAAACTGAGATAAAATGTTCTAACAACCAGGCACAATAGTCACATTTTTCTTAGCTCTGTATCCTATTATATCTGCTATAAGTATTTTTGAAGTGTTTTATTTTTATCCTGCATGTAATGAAAGAAGGTGGGTTGGAGCTCAGTGGGAGGCCAAATTGGTTACCCGGTGACATCGCTTACTTTTCTCATTACGTAGCTTTTCATTAGCCTCTCCTTTATATGTCTTGCAGAAGGATTTAGGTATTAGGATTTCAGTAAAAAACTGTCTTCAAGAGAAATGTGCATAGAGATACTGAAAAACTATGCAGTGACATAAATGAACTCATAAGGTATCCAGTGTGCACTACCAGTTGGTTTAGGGAACACAGAAACATTTAAGCATTTGCCAGATAATTGCATTCATATTTTCAAATAATTGGTATGCTATCCATTTAGATGACAGATATTACAAGTTTTCTTTTACTTTGTATTCAGGTTCCAGTCCATTGGATCAAGTTCATTCTTTACCCAATGAACCTAAATTTGAAAAAAGTGAAACAGAAATTTCCACTCGTGGCACAAAAACCATTGAGAGCAGTCCATCCTTTGCTGTAGTACATCATAGTGAGGAAGGCATGGAGACCTTAGGAAGCAATAAGAATGTTCATAATCACTCTGAGGGAGGAGAGTATACTGTGGGAGCTTGTAACGCCTCAAGTATCCAAAATGGAATTGCATTGGTTCATTCTGACTCTTATGATCCAGACAGCAAGCATGGCGAAGATAATGACTGTCTTCAACTTTCTGCAGAAATTGTGAAAGGTGATAGATACCAGGAAGCATTAGGCAATACAGTGTTTGAGTTGGAAAATGGAGAGGCAGAAACATATGCTGGTCTATCACCATCATTTCCCTCTTTTAACAGTGAAATAAGCAACGAGTTTGAAGAGGTAGATCCAGCATCATTAGTGAAAAGTTCTGGTGATACTGAATTTGTCCTTCAGAATGGGCAGGAATTTCAGAGGTCTTCTGAAGATGTTGTTAGAAAGGAACAGGAAGACAATATTGACCAGGAAAAACAGACAGAAAATTCAGCTGAAAATGTAGCTTGTATTACAGGGCATATTTGTAGTGAACAAAATCCTGGTGATAGGGACAAAAAGCATGGAAGTTCTCCTGAACAGGTAGTGAGGCCAAAAGTTAGGAAATTGGTAAGTTCAAGTCAAGTGGACCAAGAAATAGGTTTTAATAGGCACGAGGCTAAACAAAGAAGTGTTCAAAGATGGAGGGAGGCTTTGGAAGTTGAGGAATGTGGCTCAGAAGACCCCTTAATAAAATGTGAAGAATATGATGGAGAGCATGATTGCATGTTCTTGGATCCACCTTACTCAAGAGTTATAGTACGAGAAACGGAACACCATATAACACCTGAAAGCAGAGCTGTAGCAGGAAGGCAAGAACTTCAAGATAACAGCTTTTGGAATGGCTGCGGAGACTATTACCAACTCTTTAACAGAGATGAAGATAGGTAAGGCTTCATGCAGTACATTATCAGATTGGGTAGTGAACAAAGTGATTTATTTCTAGTATTGTGACTTTTAGTTGATGAGCTACCGGATATGATCAAAGAAATAGATATTTCATCTTATCAGATATTTTTACTAAGTTTAACCATATATACAAATGACTGGTTTTTCACAGAAACTTTCTTTGGGGCACTTTAATAGTTTACAGTATAAATTGAGATAATGATTATTCTTACCATTGGTAGAGCTGCTACTTATTTCACTTCATGGCATGGCAGTGAATGAAATGTACATACTCTGTTTTTAAAAATCCATGTTAAACTAGGCTAGGCTTAAAAAGTGATTAAGATCACAGAAATTATTATTTGATAATACTGCATTAACTTTGCAAATAGTTGTATCACCCATTTCCCTTTCTTACTGGTTCTTCCTATCACTAACTTTACTTTTACATAATTTATTTTTATTAGCATTTTAAAATTCTCATTAACAACTCTATGTGGTAGGTTCTATTCTTTATTCCATTCAGGCACAGAAAGTTAACTAACTTCTTAAGGTCACGAAACAACTCAATAATAGAATTGGACTTCTGAGTACTTACCTGTTTCTTAGTGCCAGAGGCTGTATTCTTTAAACCTTGTTACTGTGCGGTTTTGAAGAGAACATATAATTAAAAGTAAGCATTCTAACTGCTTTTTATAAGACACAGATTCCTTTTTTTTTTCAAACTATAGGACAGCATAGAAAGGAAGACTTGCTCTGCACAACTTGCTTACTATTCATTACCTCAGAGTACAAACTTTAATGCATCCTTTTAAGCTAGTTGCACCCCTAATATTACAGTATAATTGTGAGATTCTATTAACTAGTAAAATTAATTATATCTTTTAAAACATTATAAGGTAGATAAAGGTTAAATTTTACCATTTTAAATATGAATGCAGGTTATGCATTTTATTTCATGTTATAAATATTTTCTTAGAAAATATGAATTAAAGTGCTATAATATAGTATGTGTAACTTACAGAAAACAGTTGAATTGTAATTTGTGCTGCTGTCTTAAAGCTTGTAAATTTTAAGGAATGGCCGATAATTTTTGTGTGTTGTTTTTAAAGCGAAGAGTAAGCTGTTTGTATTGACTTCCTTAATCTGATCTGGAACTGACCCTAAAATGAAGGGTTTTTTTTGTTTGTTTGTTTTTTTAACTATTCCTTCATTTAATGCAGAAACAGTATTTTGATTACTGTTTCCTGGCCTAGATCTCACTGTACATTAAACAGCATTTCTAAACCTTGGTGTAAAATACCTAAATTCCACAACACATTCTGCCCTAAGATTTTTGCATTCCTTGTGACTCTGTTAGACCTGTAGGTTGATATTAAAAAGGAGAAGAAAAGAACTACACTTTGATAATTTGAAAGTATATTTGTGGTAACTTTTTCCCAATTACTTTTTTTGCTTCTTGTTTTATTGTTTGTTTTTTTAAGACAAGATCTTACTTTGTAGTTCAGGCTGGCCCTGAACTCTTGGCCTATCCTCTTGCCTCAGCCTCCCAAGTACATTAGATTACAGGAGTGCACCATCATACCTGAAACTTCTTGGCTTCTTGAAAGAAAATTTAACTTGGCTTGGCCTTCACGAAGCATTGTGGACATACTAATCAAAAATCAGAACATCATAAGTTTTGCTTGCTTTTTATACTCAGGTCTAACATATAATGAAATTTATGAAATCTTTTATGTTGTTTGCCAACCCTAAGAAAGGGATAGTTTTATTGGCTCCTTATTTCTAAATTGATTTCTTTTGTCAGTGGGGAAAGTGTTAACATACCTTTGCCTAGACGGACTGTGGGTTTTCAATTATTATTGAGTGTTCTCTTTTTTTGTTTGTTTTAATATTTTTGGTAGAAATAGGTCTTCAATCCATACTTTGTGTATAGATAAATTCTACATTCTCTTAAGGTTTTCTCTTTCATATTATTTGGAGTTACTTAGCCTCCAAGTGAACTTAACATATTATCTATGCATTTGATTCTGTATATACCTTTTTTAAAAGATGTTTAAAATAAATTTGAGAAACCATGCATACTTAATCCAGAGAATTATTTGCACTTTCCAAAACACAAAACGTGGAACTCAAGTTAAATAATCTATATTTCCTAAATTTCCCATGTTCCATTTCTGAATAAAGAAATACTTTTCTAGTATTATATATTACTTGCTAATAAATCATATTGTCAGAGACGCTTCAGTAAGTTATCTCTATTTTAAAATTAAATCTTAATCTGCTTTCAGAGATGATCAGGTAAATATTAAACATTGTGCCATACGCAGTATTAGCCCAGAACCTTAAATAAGAATCAAACTTGTAGTTTTAGTGTTTTCTTAGTATGTCTTAGTTACTTAAGTTTCATTTCAGTTGGCTGGCTCCAAATGGGAGCATGGCAGAGGGGCATCACTGAGAAACCATCCACAGCAGGGCAGGCAGGAGGCAGAGTAGAAGCAAGCCTCCTGTCCCATTTTATCCCATCCAGGCTACAAGCCTTTTGGATGGTGCTACCCACACCCAAAGTAGGGTTTCGGATTACCACACCCAGAACTGTTACAAGCCAATTAGTGGACTAATCCACAGACCCTTAATCCCAGTGTCACACCCTTAATCCACACTCACACCCCCTGTATCAGCCACCTTTGAAAAGCCACAGCCATACTTCTTTGGAAGGACATAGAAATACAAGTCATAGCAGTATACTAATTTGCAATTTTTTTTCTTAAGTGATATTTTAGTGTCATGAACAGTGGTGGTCTTTTGTTTTTTAACAAGCAGAATGTGCAGATAGGAAATTACTTATAGTTAACAAGCTTTCTCTTTCAACTCATTAGTAATATATTAGATACTGACTTAGAGAACTTGGAGTATGCCAAAATGATTGAACTAATTTTGTAGCATTTACACTAAACTACACCAAAAACCAAAAACATTTAGGTTTTTTTGAGAATCATAAAGTTAAATTCTGAATGATGATAGTTCTACCCTGGACTGTACTTGCATTTGCATATAAAAGCTTTGCATGTGTTTTAGGACCTTACTTCAATAGTCTGAACAGTTTCAAAAAGTAGACTATTTCTGTTTACTGTTATCTACTCTACCTCCTTCAAAGTATTGTAGTTGCCAGAGTGCCTTTTAGTAGAGTGCTGGCTGAAGGTGGAAATTTAATAGCCGTACATACTTAGTTTCACTTTGCCCTTGTTCATCTACTTGATGTTTTACTGTCATCCTCTTTCATCTATCTAATACTTTTCTGTTATCCTGTGCGGCTCTGATACTCCCAGGATTGGAGAAATAGGAGACAGTGACTGTACTTTTCTGAGTTTCTGTGTTTTACATAGAGCTTCTTAATTTCGGTCTGAAGTTTTGTTGGGTTTTGTTGTTTAGTCTTTTCTGCTTTGTAAAACTTAAAGGAGATATACTAGAAGATTTTTGGTCATGTTTATATTGTGAAGATTACAGACAAAACTTATCAAGAACATAACTAAAATTCACTGTAACAGTTTTAGTTATGGGAACTTTGACTACTTTTAAGTGTATGGATTACATATTCTTTATAAGTGGAAAAGTATTTTAATGAAGTCGTGATCACCTTCCTTGTAAAATTCTAAGTGATCACTTAATCACATCTGAAATGTTATACTCGATGGACTAAGCATTGGAGCTGATAGCATTGCTCTGAGATATTTGACAAGAACTGAATACCACCTTATTAAATTAGAACTGCAGGGGAAATTTTAATAGGCAGCATATAATTACCAGAGTTGGAGTTAAACCAAAGAGCTAAGGTTAGCACCTTGATCTTTTAAAATATACCCAAGAATTTAAGTAACTGAGGATAAGATGTTGAGTTTAAAAAAAAAAAAAAGAAAACTTTCAGTAATGCTAGCACATTTTAACCTTGGTCCTAATTGTTCTGAAGAGAGGCATGCCGTCTACTGACCATTTCTTAGACCATGTGAGGTTTCTTTCAGTTTTTCTGTCCATAGGACTTAACTTTGGTTAAAAGAGAAAAGCAAAAACAGCAACCAAAAAACATATTTAACAGCAAACATCAGGACAAACATTATGGATATTGTTGGGAGAATAAAATGAGTATTAACCATTTAGTTTATTTCAATTTGAAAAATTCAAACAGGATTCATTGACATTTCTTAAGTGCCAGACTTGTTTCAGGTGCATTTTAAATGTAATGTTCCCGCTCCTATGATGTTCAACAGCCTTAAGGAGAAGACAGAATACACAGATTGATTGTTGTAAAACTGAGTTAAGCTTCTTTCTTATTTCTTTCCTAGCTGAAAACCAGGAAGAAACCTCCCCTGATCAGCAACAAAGAAAACATTTATGAGCAGCCAAAACAAAGATCTTAAAGCACATATTGTAATATTTTAGCAAACCTTTTTATATTATTTTCAAGTTCATAGGCTTTTAGAGGAGTAAATTAGAGACAGATGAGAGTTGTTCCTCAGGCATGCTAAGGAGTTAGAATTATAATATCCTGCTATTAAAAAAGAAAGTGGTATGAGGCAGACACAATTAAATAAAAATACAACCATCTGGGCCTTATTAACTAAATTAACCTTATATTTGTATCATTGTATCGTTGTGTTGCATCATGGTTAAATGGTAATAGTCCCAGAGTGCTTATATTCTGTCAAAAATTTCATTTTTCCGTAGTTCCTCTATAGTTGAATTTCATAAGAACATATAATAAATACCAGAAAAGACAAACCAGTCATTTCCTTAAGGAGTTAGGAAATAACAGATTGCTGTTGGTTGTATTCCAGTATTTTGCTTCTACCTGGGATTTATACATGAAGTATTTTTTTCCTCTATAAATTACATATAATTTTATTTCATAGGTGAAAAGTTTTTTTTTGAGGGGGTGGTTCACAACTGAATACATAAGGGAGGTAACACTTAAGTTATTGTTGCCTAAGTTATTGTATGTGTCTCTTAAGTGCTAACAGGTCATACCAATGAAAGACCATATGAAGATCAAAGTAGTTTTTACTTAAAGATGTCTAACTGTCCTGCTTTTAAAATGAAGAACGAACAACTCTAGCTCTTCTCTATTCTACACTGTCTGTGTCCTGTTTATTCTGTTGCTTACTGTCATTGAAAAGTTATTTTTAAGTCTTTTCTTTTTCATTCCTTATTCTTAGTAGAGAACTTTGTTTCTTGCTTTCCTGAAGATATAATTAAATGTGAACATTGTTTTCTCTTCTCTGTATTAGTATGTTATTTTCTCTTCCTAATTTTAATTTCTGCAGTGATTTATGCATATAGTTATTTCTGACACTGTACTTTATCTGTGTCCTTGCCTCTAGGTTGCTTCCCTCTTCCTCTCTAGCTTGAATTTTTCTACATCCTAAGGAAATCCTTCACTTTACTTTGCTCTGTCTGTTACAAATGTTCTGTATCCAGTTTCTTTTCTGCCCCTATCCTTATCCACTTTTAACTGCCTTAAAATGCAATTCCTAGAATTCCTTCTTTTTTCTGTATTCTTTATTCAGTGAATTCCTGATTTCTCCTTCCTTTCATCTTTTCTCAGTACCCATGTATTTCCTTCAATTTCTCTGTTACTGTTCAGGCTGCTGGTCATCTTTTCCTTCTTCACAGTTTTTCTTCCATTGGCCTATGTTAATGTCTTTTTTTTGCTGTCTCTTCTCTGGATTCCAGAGGTCTGCAAACTTGTTCCTAAAGGGTAATCACATAGTAAATATTTTAGATTTTAGGTTCCAGAAGATAAGGGATATTATGTAGGAATTTATGTAACCACTTCCCATACCCAACAAACGTGTTAAAAAACTCATATTCTACATCATGAGAAATCAGACAGGTGACTTAATTTGAATGATGGGCCAGAGTATAATTTGCTGATCTCTGGTGTAAAGAAAGACAAAAGTTGTATAACCAAGAGGCTAATTCTGTTGATAAAGACAAAAAAGACAAACCAGAAAATGTAGAGTAGGTTTTCTTTGGTAAGGAAAAGAGGAAAGTAGTGGTAATAGCAGTAAATCCACTGAAATTTCTAAATAGGTTATATTATGAAAGAAATAACCATTTCCTTTTTTAAATGTTTACCATTTTCCATACATTGTCCCAGGTATTTTTTCTGCAGTATATATCTAAACACTGCCATAGACTTGAAAAGTGAATATGACTGTCTTTATTTTGGGATGGGAATGTTAGTGAGTGGTAGAGAATTTGCCTAGAATGCACAGGAGTTGATCCCTGCACACAAACACACACACAGACACACACACACACACAGACACACACACACACACACAAACACTTCGTTTTATAAATGAGAAAAAATGAGCTCAGGGAAGTTTACTGCCTAAGCTTGCATCACTAGTAAGAAAGAGTCTAATAATCAAATCTTGCTGACTGCAAACTAGCTCTTACTAATATGGTATTCTGCCACCTGTGGTAAGAAAAACTTAGCTGTGGGTGCAATATTCACCTGATACTAAGTATAGTACTTTGTTTCCTCTGTAAAGAAATTGCTCATGGTAGGTTTTTGCTTGATTGTTTTAAATAGTAGAAAAATCTTAATATGGTTGCATGATGTCCTCTGACTAACCTTCTAAGCCAGTTTAGAGTTTCAGAGCTATAAAGTAGTGCTAAATTTGAAATTTGTCATAGGTAAAAACATTCACAATGAAATAGAAATTGTTCAGATATTAATTTCTTTCACTCATATAAAAATGCAAAATAATTTCTGGAACGTAGTTGAAAGTATTCATTGTTGGCCTTTTTCATACAAACTTATAGACCTAAATGTTCTGTATTTAAATTCATTTGATTATATATATATAGTCTTTAGTACCTTCCAAGAGCTTATAAGCACTTCACTCACTAACCTTCTTGGAAACTACTAGTAAATTAGAAAAGAAACTGACTTTGCGCTTAAATAAAAAGGAAAATTACATAGACCAATTAACATTTAGTTGAGTTTTTTGTTTTGGGTTTTTTTGAGTAAAACAAAATAGAAATATTTCTGAATCAGCAGCTGCCAAACAGAACATGGTCTGAGAAATTCTGCCAGATGTGATCAGACAGCATTTAGGAAGATGAAGATGAGGCATAGAAAACAATTGGCTACAGATTAGTCCATCAGTCAGTCATTTGGTTAGAGCTTAGTTAATTGTCTCTTGCATCCTACCAAAGCTCACTGTGTTTAAAATACATACCGTACTGTATTGATTTGGTTTGTTGAGCACAGTTCAACTTCCCAGTTCAAATATATGGCCTTTTCTAGGGGCCGAGGATTTAGCTCAGCGGTTCGGTGGCCTGCCTTGCAAGCGCAAGGACCCCGGTACCCCCCAAAAAAATAAAAATCTATGGTCTCCAGATATTTAACACGTACGAAAAATAAATGCAGTGTTAAAGAAGCAGCTGTACTATAGAGAATTGGACTGAATAAGCAGGAGGTCCAGTCTATAAAGTAACTGAAAAACAAAAACAGTATTATACAGGAGGACCTTGAAAGAAATGAGGTCTGATCTAGTCCTAAAAGGGGAAAAAGATCACTTGATTGTGAAGACCTCCTTCGTGATGAAAGGATTAATTATGGAAAAGTTCACCCTTTGAGAGCATTATCTGGAATGGAACATTCTTGTAAGGGGTCAGTTGGGAATAAGAATTACTGAGATATTGTAGTAAGCATCAGTGTTATTCAGAAATATTTAACTGGTACACAGACAAGTGTTATTATTTACTGAGAATCTTAAAATATACTTAGTACTTCACACCTGAGACCTAAAAGATACTGCTTATGATGTAACCAAATATTTTCAAGTAAAAAAATATGTTATTAAAGAAATGATTTGCTAACAGTTACTAGTAGTTATGTTATTTTCCAGGCACTCTTGAAGTGATAATGTTAACTCATTTATCCCTCAGATGAATCTAATAATCTTTTGGATATTCAGCTGATTTATGAGGTAACAGAGACAGGGAGGTTTTCCACACATAGTAGGTTTATGACTTTGCAAAGCTTCATAGTGAAAGAAACTTAGTCCAATAAGTGCCTTTTAGTGTGTTAAAGTTTGATACTTAGGTAAGTCTAGAAATGGTTTACTTAATCTTAGATGATTAGTTGAGTCACAGAAAGTTTTATGCAGTACATGCAACTTTGGCTCATACCAAGTAGAAGAATAGAATGTTAGTTGCTACATCTGCTGTCCAGGATATTTGTGCCCTACTGTCCATTATTACTGAACATTAGGAGTTGGTTTTATTTTACTGCTTTTAATAAACTTGGAGCTAAGATTAGTGCTTGTGTTTATTAATAGCGTCTTGATCTCTTGATTTATCTGTCTGTAAAAGGAACCCAGTTATAACATACTGTCATCATCAAAAAGTGTAACTTTCTACCACTTATTTCTTTCCCAGGATATGAACTCAAATTTGTTATTTTTGATTGACCAGAGTTAAGTGGAAAATGGAAATCTTTAAGGGGATTCTTGATGAGAATGTTAGAAAGCACAGTTAAAACTTTTTTTCAGTATTGATCAGCAAATACTTTAGCCTTTGGTAGTAATGACTAATTCTTTAAAACTTAAGTAAACTAACCAAATTAGCCAGTTAAATGTAATCAAAAGTACTTTTCCAAAGTTTCTTTATTAATCCTATTTATTGTACCTCTTCATTTCCTTATTTTTTACATTCTGTTGAGCTGAAATTTTTTTCGTAGATTAACCAAGGATTTCAACTAAAATTTTTTTCAGTGGTCCTTTTTATAAATTTGAATACCCTCCCTTTTAAAAGTTGTGTGTGTGTGTGTGTGTGTGTGTGTGTGTGTGTGCGTGCATGTGTGCATGCATGTGTGTGTATGGAAAAGAACAAGCTTTTACTACTTGGTAATACTGGAAATTTTTTCATAGAATGTACATCATTGTCAGTATATAATTACAAAGTTGTTTTAGTCAAGTCAATTGAGCAATAAATCTATTATTCCATTTATGATTAGCAAATTGTGTTAAATTTTTATTTAGAAATGTCAAGTCAATTTCTAGGTACCATAGAAAAATGTATCTCAGTGAAAGAAAAAATAAAATGATAAATTTCATAGCTTGCTGTGTTCCATGTTCATTTCAGTTACATCTGCTCAATCTATTTATTTCTCTGTGTTTTGTCAAAAAATTGAAATAGCACTTGACTAAGCATATGTGGCATCAGAAGTCCCCCCTCTGTACCATGATGCCTTGTCAATACTCTAAAAGATAAAATAACAACATATAGCAATAGTTTGTTTTATTTCTGTTTTCATTAATAGTTCAGAATGTAGTGATGGGGAGTGGTCGGCTTCTTTACCTCATCGATTTTCTGGTACAGAAAAAGATCAGTCCTCAAGTGATGAAAGCTGGGAAACTCTGCCAGGAAAAGATGAGAATGAACGTGAGCTACAGAGTGATAGTAGTGGCCCTGAAGAAGAAAACCAAGAATTATCTCTACAGGAAGGGTATGTTTAACAGTGAGATTGATTTATTTTTTCCGTGTATTATACAAGAATAATATCCATCACATCCAAATGTTGGGTGTACAATTAATTGCACTTACAAGTCACACATGGGATCAGTAGGCCCTACTGGTATTTTTATGATGCATTTGATATTTTTAAAAGGACAATTAAAAACACTAGCTATTTTATTATTGTCTTTGGAGTTGTAACATATGCTTTCACCTTCCTTTATTGAGAAAATTTAGGCATTTAAAAGGTCATTTGGTTGTGTTAGGAATGAGTAAATTAGAGTTGTCATTGCAGTATAATGGCCAAGGAGAATGTGCAACATTCTCAAGGGGGAACTTTTCACAGAAATAGAAGCAGTAAGTTGCAGAAGTTGAAGTTTTCATATTCACTGGGTGGTATCTTCAGAACATCAGTGATTGATGGTAAACACCCTTGACTGTTGCTAATTTTAATGGGAATATTCCCAGTCTGCCAGTTGTTGGAATTTACATTGTAAAAAATCAGATAAAAAAATACTTTTTTTCTTTGTGTGCCAATCTTTCTTGCAGCTTCTCAGTTGGTCACCTATAGTATGAAAGTAGTCATCGGCAATATGTGAATGAAAGGGTGCATTTGTGTTCCAACAAAATATTTACAAAAATGGTAACAAGCTGGAAATAAACTGTGGCCATGGTTTACCAGCCCTTGTTCTAGCATTTCTATACTGAGAATAATTCTGGGTTTTAGATTGATTTTTATACACACACACTCACAAATTCTTTTTAAAACCACACTGTGGAAATCTCCACCTTTTATTGTTTTAAAAGGTTTCTGGCTAGACTATTTGTTGAATTTATTGAAGTCTTTTCATCATTAGTGGAATTGATTTTAATGATTTTTCACTTTTGGCCTGATTATCAGTGAAGAATTACTCTGCTAATAGATTTGCTAATATTCACCCTTTGAAATAAACCCAGTGTGATTATATAGTCATGATTTAATGTTAGACACCACTTACTCCACCCCGCCAATCCAGCCACTGGGGATTGGACTCAGGACCTTGCACTTGCCAGGCAGGTGCAGAGCCACTGAGCTAAATCTCCAACCCTTAATGTTAGGTTTTTTTTGCTATTTTATAGGACTTTTTTTTTTGGTATAAGGAATTGAACTCAGGCCCTTGTGCTTGTGAGGCAGGTGACAGCACCATTGAGCTAAATTACTGGCCTTATATAAGACTGTTTTGTTTTGTTTTTAGACAGGGTCTCACTATGTAGTTCATACTGCTGTGGAACTCACTATGTAGCCCAGGCTGGTCTCAAACTCAACAATCGTCTTGCCTCAGCCTCCCGAGTGCTGGGATTACAGGTGTGCGCCACCACGCCCAGTTTATAGGATTTTATATTGAGATCCTTAAGTGGGCATCATCTCTAAATTGTTTTAGTATGAGTTTGATACTTGCTTTGCTTAAAAAAATGCCCTTTCTGAATCTTCTGCACGTGTTGTTTAAACAGCTTATTTAACCCTTTAAAGGTTGTTCGTATTTGTGAAACTATTTGGGCTCAGTGGAGAATATCTTTTCTTATTAGTGCGTATTTGTAGTATAGAGTAATGAGATTTGTGTTGCTATATTGGTACATGCTTACAACATAATTTTATTATTTTCATCCTTATCCCTCTCTTGTTTTCCTCTCCCCCTCAGCTCATTCTCCATTTCTAAAAGTGTCATCTAGTTACCTGTCATCTTTTCTTTATTCTGTTTACTTTAGATTGCTCATGTTAGAGAAAACATACGACATTTAACTTTTTGACAATGGCTTATTTCACTTAACATGATGTTCTCCAGTTCCATACATTTTCCTGAGGAATATCTTTTTGATAATTTTCCTTTTTTCTTAGGATAAATGGTTCTAATTTTTAGTCTCTCATGAGTTCTATTTTGATGTTATGTTTTCATAGGGGAAAATACTCATTCTGGATAATATTAAGATTTGTACTTTTCAAACTGTAGGTTTCCAGCTAGAGATTAATTTGTTGAGAAAATCTAGTAGACTGCATGTACTGCAAACATGTACTAATAAAAAAAAATTATCATCAGTATTCTAAGCTGAATATTCGGAAAGACGAGTTAGGATTCTACAGTCAAAAAATTCACTCAAACTGGTGGGAATACTGAGTCACTCTTCACTGTAACCTTTTATTTTATGTCAGTGGTATCTTAAAAGAAATGCCTTTTTTAATATATCTTCTGCATCTATTGTTTAAATAGCTTATTTATTCCTTAACAGAGGTTGTTAGTATTTGTGAAACTATTGGGCTTTGTGGAGAATTTATTTATTAGTGCCTATTTGTATACACCTGTAACTAGTCTCCCTTTAAAGGATATTACACCATTTCCAGTGCGATATATAAGAACATTGAATGTTTGCATTTCTCTGTTCCATCTTTTGTGCTACTGGTGTTATGAAACTTATTTTAAAGTATATTGTAAACTCTTTACTACATTGTTATCATCTCTGTTTATACAATAATATTTTAGTAAGATTTTTTTTTTGGGGGGTAATGGAGATCGAACTCGGGTCCTTGTACTTGTGAGGCAGGCGCCAGAACCACTGAGCCAAATCCCCGGCCCAGTAAGATTTAATTGATGAAAGCACTGAGTATTTGCACACATAAAAAAGAAGAAAATCTAGGCAAGAGAGACTGATAGTAAACAGTATTGAAACACTGTAAATTACAGGCTGTGGTGTGTACTGCCAAGGGAATAAAGCAGTAAAGTGTTAGGGAACTACATTAATTAGAGTGGTCAGTGAGGATGGCTCAGAAAATGACTTTTTTTTTTTAATGTTGTTTTGGTTTGGTTTTTGGTTTTTGGTTTTTTGACACAAGATCTTGCTCTGTAGTTCAGGCCGGCCTTAAACTTGCAGTGATCCTCCTGCCTCATCCTCCAAAGTGCTGGAATTACAGGCATGCACCACTACACCCAGCTAGTTTATTTTTCTTGATTAGTACATGTCTATAATAATTTCATTCATCTTGGGGAATTGGTACATATATACATAATCTTAAACAAGGAAATGACTTTTGAGCTGAGATCAGAAAAGTAAGAATAGTTAAAGAAGAGCTTTGTAGGCACAGGGAAAGCCAAAAACAAATATTGAAAAGGAAAAGGTTTGAGGAAGGTGATGGGGTTAAAACAGACAATATTGACAGATACCTAGAAAAGTAAGTTTTACCAAAATTTAGGAAAAGAAAAGAAAGTCTAAGTAATCTTATAATTGTTACAAATATGCAATCACTTGTTTAAAATCTTTGTGATGAAAACAACTGATCTAAATGATTTTTTTACCTAAATTATTTTAAAATACACTGTTAAGGATTACATCATTCCACTCTTAACAAAAATTCTTCCAGGGAATAGAAAAAAAACTACTCCCCCAGCTCAATTCTGTAAGTTCAGTGTAGTCCTGTTAAACAACAGTGTATGTGAAAAAAGTATAAGCCTATTTCATTCATTAAAATGGGTGTTAAAATGTTAATGAAAATTATCGGAAATCTGAATTTTAAAAATAATCTGTATTTTTAAAAAATACCAATCTGAGTTTATTCCAAAAATGCAAGGGTGATTATCATTAACCATATTAGCAGAATGCAGAAGAAAATCCGTATTATCCACTATAAATGCAGTGGGAAAAAATCACTTAGTAGTAATCAGCACCTTACGTATAATAAAAACTCAGAAGCTAGGATTAGAATGATATTTCTTTGACCAAGGATATCTGGCACTTGTAACAACTCAGTAGAAATCATTCCACTAAGGAAGCATTAAAAATTTTCTCTTCTTAAAATTAAGTGGTGAGTTAAGAAAAGGATGCTTAGTGGTACTGCCTTTATAACCATTGTAGTAGATAGAGGTCTTAACACGGCATACTGGGGGAAAAAAAGGAAAAATGATTTAAAAAAAAGAAGAAGCTGGGCCTAGTGATGCATGCCTGTTATCCCAGCTCTTGAGACAGAGGCAGGAGGATCACTACAGGTTCAAGGTCATTGTAGGCTACATAGTGAATTTGAGGCCAGCCTGAACTAAATAGTAAGACCTTGTCTCAACAGACGAGCAAAATATATATTTGTTTTTGTTTTTGCTTTTTGTACCAGGAATCAAACCTTGTGCTTGGAGGCAGGCGGCAAAACAAAATACATATTTATAAACACACACATACCCCCCGAGGCATGCTAAGGAATTTATGCACACTTCAGGAAAAGAAAAACTCGTATAAATATTGTAATACTTAATTTATTGAGACATCATGAGATTAATACAAGTTACCTTTGGCCTCTACAGTTATATCAGGTGCTCAAAGTGGTGGCATTGAGCTTCCAGACATTTATTAGGGTGGTGAAGTGCTGCTTGGGTAGCCTTGGACACTGAGATTGCTGCACATGCATTTTCCATTTCTTCTCTAAGGGCTGGCAGTGTAGTGGGTTTTCTGTGATATACAACATACTCTAGGATTCCCCATACACGATCTGTTCAGGAAACATCCTACTGTTTCTCTTTTCCTGAAATTTGTGTGCATTATTTGGTGGACTAGATAATGGAAGAAAAGCAGTTTGCTTTAAATATATTTGAGGTTTTTTATGGCATTTATATTTATAATCATATATTCCCATGGTGATATTTGTTCCTGCTGTTATTACACAAAACAAAAGAAATTTTTGATCCTACTGTTCAGAATTTTTTTTAATTCATAAAGAGTGGGTGTTTATTTGGCTCATAGTGTTGGAGGCTGGAAAGTCCCAGGAGCATTACATTGGCATCTGCAGAGGACTTGCATGATACATCACAGAATAGCAGAGGACAGCCAGGTGTTCTTGTGGTGATCCTCCTGCCTCAGCCTCTTGAGTGCTGGGATAATAGGCATGCATCATTGTGATGTCTGTATAATATAAAAAAAAAAAGAATGTCACGCTTTTTGTTGGGAGTACATTAGAAATAACAAATACTTCCAAGGACTTTTCCAGGTTTAATCATTAAATTATTTTTTGAAAGCTGTTTTTCAAAGATTTGTTATTAACATTTGCAGCATATGGGTAGAGAATGGCTGTTATGTCTGTAGCAGCACTGTTAAGAGGATGAGCAGCAGTGATGAGTCACAGCACTTGTGTCCTAATTTAGAGGCACTCAGTGTACTGGAGGAGACAAGGAAGTCATCGCAGGAGCTAGAGTACAGTGTGACTAGTGCTGTGATGGTGTGAAAAAAATGTTGTTATTTAGAATTTTTAAACTTGATCTTACATTTTTATTCTATTTTGGATTAATTTTGTTTTGTAACTAATTATGTTGTGCTAAAGGAAAACATCTGCTCTCTTTATATATTACATACTAAAATTTCAACAGAACAAACAGAACTTTGTTGTGTTCATTTCTCTGGTTTTATTAGATTGACCATACTAAATGTCCAATCTTAAAAACTTGTTATTCTGCAGTGTTGGTTTAGTAGTGGAAATTACTTAAGCGTTGATAGGTTTAGGTATATAAAGAGATACTGTTTCTATGTATGGTATTTAAAATACATTCACTCTTGTCCTCTAGTGGGTATTGTCTGCCTCTCCTTCATATATAGCAGTTCCTCAGTATCCACTAGGGATGACTTCTGGGGACTCTCCATTGATCCCAGAGTCTTGATGCTCAAGTCCCTTGTATAAAATAGTGTAGTATTTGCATACAACCCATACTTTACTTTAAATCATCTCTGCATTGCTCATAATATCTCACACAATGTAAATGCTCTGTAAATAGTTATTATGTTTATCATTTAGGTAATAATGACAAGGAAAAAATTCTGTACATGTTCCATACAGTGTTCTATTTCTAAATATTTTAATTCATTTGGTTGAACCCTTAGATGGAGAACCTGAGGGTACAGAGCCAACTATATACATGTTCTTTGCTCTCCAAAGTTAAATTTGCAACAAGTAGAATTCTAATTAGAGCTGCTCTTAAATCTGAAATATATGAATTGTTGTATAACTATCTCATAAGACCAGAACCAAAGTTAAATTTTGCCAAGACTTTGATCTAATATTAATTTTCCTTTTGTATTGTAAAGGGATATATATTCTTAACTCATCTGTTTAGTTCTTTGGAATGTATAAAGTTGATAATTTAAGAAACCCAATTTTTCGAAATTGAGCTCTTACTATAACACCAAATTACAGATTTACTCATATTTTTCCTAGTTAGACTTTGTCTTAAAACTAGCAGCCTTGGGCGATTTAGCTCAGTGGTGCTACCACCTGCCTTGCCAAGTACAAGGTTCCAAGTTCGATCCCTGGTGCCAAAAAAAAAGCATAAAATACTAGCAGCCTCGTTTTGGTGAATTTGTGAATATATATAAGTATATATAATATATAGACATTTTGTATGTTTTATATATATATATATATATATATATATAGTTATATGTAAAATACTATTTAACTTAGATTTTTGTTTTCTAACAGTTATTAATAGTTTTCTATTTTAATAAAGTAGTTTTTATATGACTAAGATATATATGGATCCACAAGTCGTCTTCAGTTGATATATTTTGCATTCAGAATGATGCAGAGTGATGTATTTGTTTGGAATGATTGGATACACTGAAAAATCAAATGCATATTTCTGATGGCTAATTAAATCTAGCAGGAAAGAACTATTATCTGGGATGGGGCAGAGAGAAGAATAAAAAATATGTTATTACATTTTCAAAATTATGAGTTGTCCAAATAATACTATACACCTTTACCAAAGGAAAACAAAACCTTCAATATTTTAACTTTTATTAAATGTCTACTAAACTCTGTTAGCTTAGCTATAGTTAGATTTAATATACAAACAACTGTATGACTCCTTAATAATTATCACATGACCTATATACCTATTCATTTCACTTTTGTAGTTTACATTAATTGAAAGGATGGTTTCTTAAATATTAATAGAAGTGAATACAGCTGTACCTTCTAATGATACAGGTTTTAGTCCTTTGGAAATATTTAATAAATTATTAAAAGTATATTGGGATAACTATTTTTGGTTAGTTTTTCTTGATAAATAGATAAAATTACATTTTAAAAATAGAGATTCTCCTATTTGATAAAAAATGCTTTCATATAATTTGAAAAGACCAGTTTCTCTATCTTTATGCATATAGATTTCCTAAATTTAAAAAAAAATCTACGTGGTATAATACAATATGCTGTATGAATTTCCTTTGGTGGACATGTAAATTTTTGCACTTTTGTCAGCTGTTAGCAATGCTGCAAAGAAAATATGGTACGTACTTTTTTAGAAGTATCTAGAAGCAGAACCACTAGGTTATTGGACATTCATGCACTTTGTAGCTACTGCCATGTTTCTCTACAAAGAAATTGTATCAGTTACTTTCTTCCCACATTGTACTAGTTACCTTTCTTCAATTCTTTGTCAACACCATGTGGTATCAGAAATTTATTTTTACCCATCGTTGAAAAGTGATAGTTTCTTGTTTGAGTTTGTATGTTTCTTATTCATGAGATAGATTATCTCTTCATATATTTAAAAGATACTTACATTTCCTGTCTACCAACTAATTAATATCCTTTGCTTCTGTCTTTTCCTTTTTACTTTGCTTTTACAGTTTACATTTATATTAAGAAAATTCCTTTTGTGTCTCATGTGTTTTAAAATTAATTTCTCTCAATTTGAGCATGGTGTCCAGAATTGACTAAGTGTGTATTACAAAGTTTACCAATCACTCTGTGGCTTCAAGTTTTATCATTATGTTTAGAATGACAAAATGATGTGAGATTTTTGTAAAATTTTCTGTCATTATCCTAGTACTTTTATTATTTTAATGGTTGTGGTAATGAGTTGCACATTTCAGAAAAGCACAGCAACCTTATATAAGGGCAAATAGTGACAGAGGGACCTAACTTTCCCCCAGTAATTCTGTCCCGGAATCATTTATTGACTAGTCTTTTTTTTTTCCTGCTTCATTTATCTTCTTAATTTCTTGACCTTAATTACTGATTTGTCTCTCCCTGTTTTTGTAAACTTAATATTCTAGGGTAGTACAATGACAATAAATAAAACATTCAGTAAAAATGAATTGTGTCATTTAAATAACCAGAGTGACATGGTAGCTAATAACTGGCTTAAACTTAGTGGTAAGATAGGCCTGTCTGAGATGTCATATACTGCTACCTGAATATGAAGAAGGGAGTAACAGTGTAAAACTGTTGTGAAAAAAAATTCAGATGTGCAAGTAGCCCAAGGCGGAAATAATCTCCATGTGTTTCAGGAGCAAATAGAAGAGTTGTGAACTGAGTAGACAGGGACAGGAGTGATAAGAAATGATGCTGGAGAAGTGAGCTGAGGAGAAAGTGTGGACTGCATGAGATTTGTAGCTAGGTTGGGGAATTGGACTATAAAGGAAATTTATTTAACTGTAAAAGAAAACTGCTCAAAAGAAGTGTTTAAAAATACAAGTAGTCTAAGATGGATTTCTTTTATTTTTGTCCTGGAAATAAAGGAGCATAGATAATTATGTAAATCAAATGTTCTTGTGTTTAAACTATTTCTAGGCGCATATGATCCCATAACAAATTTACTTAAAAAATAATTTTGGGGCCGGGGATTTGGCTCAGTGGTTCCATCACCTACCTCGCAAGTGCAAGGTCCCAAGTTTGATCCCTGGTACATACATACATACATACTTACATAAATAATTTGCAATTCCGGAAATCCTGAGAGAACCAATAACTTAGTACTCAAGGAATATGGAGTCTACTTGCACTAAATAGAATTCTTTTAAAAAATGACATTATGATGTTGTTTAAAATATTTTTTCATCCTTTAAATGTTTTTATTAGGGAACAGACATCCTTGGAAGAGGGAGAAATTCCTTGGTTACAGTACAGTGAAGTCAATGAAAGCAGCAGTGATGAGGGAAATGAGCCTGCCAATGAATTTGCACAGCCAGAAGCTTTCATGTTGGATGGTAACAATAACCTTGAGGATGACTCCAGTGTGAGTGAAGACCTTGATGTGGACTGGAGGTGTGTGGTTGTGTTATTAGCATGCCTAATTGCCTATTAGCAGAATTGATTCTTGATTCTAAATTGTAAGAATTCAGTCTCTGATAGATAAGAGATATCCTGATGTTCCTGTTAGTCTCTTTTGAAGCTCAGTTTAGTTGTCACTTTCTACATGGACTCTTTTCTTCTAGTCAGAGACTTATTTCATTGACCTTTATCTCCTGTGACACTTAACTTCTGTCCTTTATATATCTTGGAGGTCTTCAGATTTTCTGTAATGGAATTTAACTGGAAGAAAAGATAAATTCTTAAAAATGTATTTGTGTAGAAAAGGAAACAGGTATATGCACCAAACCATAACTCCCCAGAAAGACTAACAAAAAGGGAACAAAAAAATAATAAATAAAATGAAAGATAAGCCCACCTGATAAACCAAAAACATTAAATTCTGAGCTTTGTGTCTGTCATAAAATACTATAATACACTTTACTTAGACACACTTTTATTTGGAGCTCAGCATTCTTTGTCAGCATAAATTTAGTATTTTTAACATCTCCGGAAAAATATTGTTTAATTTTTCATATTTGATATAGAGAAGGAAAATTATATTCTTAAATTCTTCTGATTCAATCACAGGTTTTTTAATAATTCTTTTATTCAGAATGAGAATGTTTTTTAAAAATATGTTGTGGGTCACAGCATATAAAGCAACGTCAAGAGTCAGAAAAATCAAGTTTTAGGGCCAAGGATTTAGCTCAGTGGTGCCACATAAGTATATTTTCTTTACCATATTCTCACCTATACTCAAATTAGCAATAGAAGTAAACAGAAAAAGAAAAATAAACCCCAAAAAAGGGAAATATAAAGAATGTTTTTTAAAAATATGTTGTGGGTCACAGCATATAAAGCAACGTCAAGAGTCAGAAAAATCAAGTTTTAGGGCCAAGGATTTAGCTCAGTGGTGCCACATAAGTATATTTTCTTTACCATATTCTCACCTATACTCAAATTAGCAATAGAAGTAAACAGAAAAAGAAAAATAAACCCCAAAAAAGGGAAATATAAGAAAGAATTATCTTTATGCAGTACTCAGAGTTAGACCTTGAAACACACACACACACACACACACACAAAGAAATAATTTTCTACAACTGTGTCATACAGTTAGTATGGCAGACTTTTGGAGAATCGGGTATGCTTCTTAAACCATACATTAAAATATTTTAAGATTTTCTGCTTGCCAGATGTTAACTTACCAGTCTGCTGATATCTGCTGATATAGTTATCTCCTTAGAATAAGATTTCCCAAATCATAGTTACGAGTTTTGTTTTGTTTTTCAGCCTATTTGATGGCTTTGCAGATGGCCTGGGAGTTGCTGAAGCTATTTCTTATGTGGATCCTCAGTTCCTCACTTACATGGCACTTGAAGAGCGCTTAGCCCAGGCTATGGAGGTATTCTGTTAACTCTGATGCTTGTATATATAAGGGTTTTCAAACTATTCTTAAGAAAAGGTGAATGGTTTTCTGAATAGTTTGTGAATGGTGATTGTCACCAGTATGTTTGTGTAAATTGTATTTTTTGTCCTGAATGCCTCATATTGCAATATTTCTCAGGTTTGTTTGTTTTTTTGTTTGTTTTACTACAGAATGAAAATGTCTTGCTTAGAATTAAAATGTTTTGCTTACATTTAGAAAATATACTTTTCAGGGCCCAGGATGTAGCTCAGTGGCTCCATGCCTGCGTGGAAAGCACAAGGTTGTTAGTTTGAGCCCCAAAAAAAAAAAAAAAAAAAAAAAAAAAAAAAAAAAAACACTTTTTCCCCTATGTTGTATTAGGCAAGTATGATAATCTGAATATTTTATTCAGATTATTATTTTATTCACCAACACTTTTATGTTTAGACTTTTTGGTACTGCCAAACAGTTTTGAGGTGAAATCTCCTTCTGACTTTAGTATGTACTTTCTTAATGATTAGTGACGATGAGCATTCTTCTTATCAATTTATTATTGATATACCTTCTTTGAATAAGTATCTGTTCAGAAATTTTTTAAAAATTGGGTTGTTTTCTTGCTATTCAGTTGTTTGAGTTCCTTATAGATTTGGGGTGTTAACTTCTTAAAAGATGTGTGGTTTGCTGATATTTTCTCCCATTCCATGGGATGTATCTTCATGTCATTTATTGTTTCCATTGTCATATAGAAGCCTTTTACTTCGATAAAATGTCATTCACCTATTTTTGCTCTTTTTACTTGTATTTTTGAGGTCGTATTAGATAAATCTTTGCCAAGACCAATGTCTCGGAGCATTTTCCTTATGTTCTGCTAGCTTTACAGTTTCAACTCTTCAGTTTAAATTGTTAACCCACTTTAAGTGCATTTTTGTTTTTGACATAAGGGTACAGTTTCCAACTTTTGCATGTGTCCGGTTTTTCCCAAAACACTTCAAAGAAATTGCCCTTACTCCATCATGTGTCTCTCACTTTTGTTGAAAATAGATCAACCATACGTGTTATTATACTTTAGGCTCTATTCTGCATCACCGGTCAGTGTATCTACTTTTTACTTTATCTTTACTAGTACATATTTATCATGTAGATACACATTCACAGATACATTTATGAAATGAATCCTTGAGGATCTCTAAGCATATATAGGTATTTATAAATCACTTACTTTCTTTTGTTCTCATTGCTTCTGAATACTGTCTTGCTGTCTACTACAGTTAGGAGATTTGTTTCTTCTTATCTTCATACACACTGTCATAAATGTGGCACATTTGTTGCCCTAGTTTCTCTTGACATCTTTTCATTATTTCACTAAAACAGAAAGTCTTGTTTATAAATGTATTTGCGTAAGGTCAAAAGCCCAGTATTATCACAGCAACTTTGCACTAGTGGATTTCATTATAAAAAGTCTTCTTTAAACCACTGGATCTGAAGTTGATTTCCAAAGTATAGAACATTAATAGCTGGTGAATGAGCCAGGGGTAAGAGAACAAATATTATTAATTATTTCAGGAGTATTCTGTTAACATTTTGTCTTGAAATTTTCTGAAATTAGAACTTCCTGTTTAAATTGCTAAATTAGAAGATGGATATTCATCTACACATGAACACACTCATAGATGTACACACTTGTGTTAGCTCTGCTAATATATGTTCCATGTCTAGTGTGCATTTATTTAATCATTTTGAAAAATGAAACTGAAATAACTTAGTTTTCCTTTTAGATTTTAATATTTAAATGAGACAACAAGTAATAAAAACTGCATGTGTGTGTGTGTGTGTGTGTGTGTGTGTGTACATGATCTTCCATGTAGATCCTTTTTCTCATTTATGCTGTATAATGTGTATTTTTCTAAAAATTACTACAGCAGAAATGCTATTTACTACGAAAAGTCAAAACTTCACAAAACCAGATATTTAGGACTTTTTTCAGATTATTTAACCTGCCTTTCCACATTCTGGCACATATGAAATAATGAATGGTACACTGTAATAAGTTTCATCAGAATATATAAAAGTTCAGAATTATTAATTTCTTGAGCTACATAACTTTTGAGTAACGACAGTGGAGTACATCTGTTCTAGATCTGGTTTCACACCCCTTAAAATGACTTTCATTTTTTATGCTAGTAGTTTTTGATTTCCTATAATATGAAGATATCTTTAAAAAGAAGAGTTGTGAATAAACTTAGTTTTACTATTTATTACTAATGGGAAATGTGGCATTTGCTTGGCATCATGGAAGGAGAGAGAGATTGGTCGTAAGAGGTTATGCTAGATAAAAAACACTGTTAGGAAGAACAAAAACAAGAAGCAAGAAAAAACATGGTAGGTCCAGGAACTTCTTACACATCTTGGCTTCTGCTAATGAAGAACCCAGTGGTACTGCCACTTTCAAAGTTTCTTTTGTTTATTTGTCCATTTGCTTCTGATTAATGCCTTCACATTTTAGTGCTCTGTTTTATTTAATTTGAAATTGATTGAGGTGTTTCACCCTTAGAGATCAATATAGTTAAATTTTCCTATCACTCCTCAGAAATTTTGTTTTTTTCATGTCTAGTGTGCATTTATTTAATCATCTTGAAAAATGAAACTGAAATAACTTAGTTTTCCTTTTAGATTTAATATTTAAATGAGACAATAACAAATAATAAAACCTGACTGCAGCTTTTATTTTTTTGTGTCTGAGGCAACCCTCCCTTTTGAAATACTTGCTTTCATTTCTGTTATTTTTTCAACTGAACTCATCCTTCTCTTTGGGCGGTGGATTTTGGTGAAAACATTGGCACTATATTATAAGTCTCATATCTATGTCTTAACTTTGATTGTGGACATGGTACAATACCAGCATCCCTAACTTTTTGAGGCAATGATAAATTTTTGTACTTACTCCCAAATAAATTTGAAAAAAAAATCCTCATATATTTATGTTGAGACATAAAGTTATTTAGCCATAAATATAAGTGTTGCTTACCTCATTATACTTCTTTGCAAGAAAAATTACTCAGATTTTTATGTTAAAATTTATTTTGAGTTATAATTAGCAATATTCAATTAAAACTAGATTAAAAATTTTGATAAGCAATGATTAAAACAAAATGTTACTGGAAATGCATCTCTTAATGAGAAGGAGGCTTTTACCCTTCCCAAGAACTTGAGTTAATTTTTGTTTTTCGTCTATGAACATAAGCTTGAAAAACCTTAACAAATAAATCAGTGAGCCACTCATTTCTTCTGAGATACTTCCCCAAAATCCCATCATCTTAACTTTCTTTGTTTTTTTTTTTTAAATGCAAAAGATTAGAAGCCATCTAAAAATATTTAGTATTCAGTTGTTAAAGGTCCGGTGACCCCAGTACTGTAGATTGTTCTTCTGAATGGGTAAGAAATGAACTGTTATTTATAAAGTAGGAGAAGGGTTAGTATAAATAGAATATGGGGACAGAGAATCAGCATGATACATACTTTACAGGCAAATTTTCAGGTCTGAGGAGAGATGAACCTGAGGAGAGATGTAGGAAAATTAAGTTTATTCCCTTCAGACTGTCCACACCCAAACTCACAAAACCACCTTGAATACACTGAGGTATAACTATTAGGAAGATAACATACCAAGTTGAGAGCATGAGCTTTTGAGTTGGATAGGCTGCATGATTCTGAACAGTGTAGTTAACTTCTGAACACAGGAACCCCATCTAAAGTTGGGAGTTATTGTGAGATTGTGTTAAGACATGTAACAAATCCTCTAGTGTAATGGTAAGCTCTCAGAAAATGGGTGCATTCGTACAGATGTTTAAATCAGCAGTGACCGAGTGTTAATTAACCAGCAAATTTTGATTCAGTGGTGATCATTCAAAATTGACATTAAGTCCTTTATTATAAATCATCCTTTTAAAAAGAAAATACTGTTTTGTTCCTTAGAAACTAAATTGTGTACTTCAGGTTGTGCTACTTCAAACCTAGATATATTCTACTTTGGATTATTTGGAATTCCAGTTTGAGTTATTTAGACTACTTAGTTATCTTCCTTGGGCTACATTTTGAAAATAAACTACACTGACTAAGGTACAAATTTTTAGAACAGTGGCTATAAAATGGTTTCTCTTGCTCTTGTTGCTTATAAGTGGTACCAGATCATCTTAAAAATATGTCAATACTAAGGCAATAAATTGCTTCTATATGCATGAAATATCAGGTGTTTTTTATCACTATAAATATGGAGCTACTTATCAGAAGGGACTATGAATTCATTGAAACAAACACATATCAAAGCAGATACCCTGGAGTCACCTCCCCAAATGGAAAGTTATGTGTAGCATCCCAACTTACTGTTTATTAGTAGCACAGATGAGTTCTTTCAAGCAGTCTATGTTGAAAAGTGTGTACTTATTATATGAGAAAGGTTAGATAACAAGATCTTCCATTTCCTATCTTTTGATGGGGAAGATCAATATAGAAATTAGTAAATAATAAGATAAGTTGAGTAATAGGGAATTGCTAGTATTAGAAATAAATGTAAGCCAGGTGTGGTGGCACATGCCTTTAATCCCAGCACTTGGGAGGCTGAGGCAGGAAGATCTCTGTGAATTCGAGACCAGTTTGGGCTTACATAGTGAGTTCCAGGTCATTCTCAACTACACAGTGAGACCCTGTCTCAAAAAACCAAAAAATAAATACATAAATAAATAAAATGTAATTATAAAGAATACAGGCAAAGCACATTTGAGAAGTAGTCACCAGCTGTCAGGGTAAGATAGAACACCCAAAGAAGAGTGCTAACTCTTCTACTAACTTTGGTGCTGTTTTGGAGGAACTACTGGAAAGCTGTCCTCTGGAACTTGCTAGAAGTTAGCCCTTGAGAATACCAGGGCTAGTTCTTCACAGGAGTTTCTTACTGAAAATGTTCCACTACAGAGCTGTCCAGGGTTCTGCAGGAAGCTGCTAGCCACTGGAGAAGCTGTGTGCATTATGAGTGTGAGGCTAGAGAAAGCAACAAATGCCACAGATGCCTGTAAAGCAAGCACACCGGGTTCAAGCAAGGGCCTTCTATTCTGTGTTTTTAGTGTCCTCTGTGAACAAAACATAATAATATGCTGTCTGTTGGGAAGAAAAATATTGCATGGCTCAGATTCACAAAGCTGACAGAAATAGTGAATTTGGATTTCAGAAGCAACAGTTCAGTAACTGGAATACCCTGTACCTTTAATTACTTTTCTGTACACATTTGACCTCCTATCCAACAGTATAATTATATCCTTACCTGACAAGCAAGCTAGGGCAATTCTTACAAATAAAGTTGTAACCTTTTCCCCAGAATGAACAATCCCAAAATCATTATATCTCTCACTAATTATGCTAATTTCTCCACAAATTCAGTCACACTGAATATTCTCTTAAATTGCAAAGCTGGGCATGGTGGCGCATACCTGTAATCCCAGCACTTGGGAGGCTGAGGCAAGAGGATTGGCCTGGTCTACAACATGAGACCCTGTCTCAAAAAACAAAACAAATAAGACTAAATTGTAAAGTTAATTTCCAGCAAGAAATTGGAAGGAGAGAAAACAAGCAAATGGTTAGTATATACAGTTACATACATAAAATAAGTAAATAGAAAACATGAAAATCTACTAGTTTCTACATTTGGTTACAGGCAATAATAGCTATTTCCTTCGCCTACAACTGTTCCACAGTTTCCCTGCCCTCAGCCAGAACATTACCTGGCTTAGAATACTTTCCCTGGTAGAATGACCCAGACCTATTTTCCTGAAGACATTGTATCCTAGATTGGCCTTACTTCTCTTTTGGGTGCTGTAGTTTTCTAGAAACTGCCACTGGGCAGGGAAGACCTAAGAGTAAGTGCAGCCTTCAGGTGAAATTATCGTGATGTTTTTCTCAGAGGAAGCCCAGTGCATCTGGAGATTCATGATTGTTAGTTCATCCCAATTCAACCAGATCTTTCTTTTCAAGTTTCAGAATCCCATTCTTAAACCAGTCAGTTGTATAGCTTTTGAGGAATTTGACATATTGAGAATTTTATCTCATTTTAAGCTAGCAGTCCACACAATTAAATTTGGTGTTTAATTTTCAGAAATAAGAGCTTCTTTTAGCACTATCATGGAAGCTCTGGTTCTCAAACTTTCTTGAGCTGAGAGTTAACAGACCTGAATTTGTGTTTTCTCTGTAAGTGTGCAGGCACAAAATAATCCATCTCCATATTAGTTTTTATAGTAGATACCTGTAGCCATAAAGTCAAGTGTATTTACCCGGGCTTCCAAGACGTGTGTCAGTAAGCTGCTCTTCACAGTCAATAGTGGTAGCTTGATGAATTGTAATACCACCAGAGGCCGTGTTAATAACATCCCATTCCCATTAGCAAGGACCTCAGCACTGAACTCAAGCCCAGAGGCCCAAGCAGACTTATCCCAGAATCTTTTACTTACAGATTAGTGTTCACGGACCATGCCTAATACCAATTTTGTGCCACAAGAGAGAACAATAATAATTTAAACAGGGAAAGTTTAATGTAAACTATTGCCTACTACAGGACGTTAGAGATTGGCTTATTGGAATTAGTAGGAGGTAAAGTGGATGCTAGGAATATAGAAACAGCTGATTTAAGAAACAACTTTCAGGCTGAGATGGAGGTCTCTACCTCCCCATTCCATACAGCTGAGATCCAGACCTTGTTGGGGAAGACACGGCCTTGACTTACATGGTATTCTGTTGGCAGAACTTGGCAAGAAATCTCCCCTTTGGAACACCTGAGAAACTGTTCACTGGGTGCACTCTGCTCCAAAAGCACCTAAAATAGGCTCCAGAAGAGGCTGCTGGCCACCTTACACTGGGGTTGCTAGGCACTGGAGGAGCTGCGTATACTTTAGAAGACAGAAGAAGCGGGAAGAACCGCCTACACTGAACGACTGGTGCTGGAGAAGCCTCCCACCCTGCAGGCTCCCAGTCATCAGCCCAAGGGGCCTGTGAAGTCACGTCCTCCTGTGTTGTCTCCCCAGCACGTTCTGTTGACAGAGCTGAAGGTCGTGCTAGTGGACACAGGAAAAATACTTAAAAGACCCAGTTCTGTTTTCACAGAGTAGAAATGAGAAGTAAATTTGGAGCAGTTGGCAGTAATTCAGTTTGTATACAGTGCTTCTTTCCCTGTGGTCCCCCTGTAAGTCCAGAGTAAAATTTGATGTTCAATATTTTTGTGTGTATGAACAGGGTGAACCTTTTTGTTTTTTCTCTAGTTCTTACTTTGCTTTGGGATTGACTGTACCCTCTAGTTAGTTCTATATAGTATCTATGGATGTGTCTATGCTAGTTAGGCATATATGATTGTGTTTGCCATACACAAGAATACAATGTTAGCTGTCAGGCACACTTCTACATAGGAAGATCATGTTGTAGCATGTGATAGAATTTCCTTTTCAAGATTGAATATACTCCATTGTGTGTATATGCCACATTTTGTTTTTTCATTCATCCATCAATGGAAAATTGGATCACTCCCACGTATTGGCTCTTGTAAATAATGCTGCAATGAACATAGATGTACAAATATCTATTCCAGCCTATGCTTTCAGTTATTTTGAGCATAAACTCAAAAGTGGGATTGATAAATTATGTGATCACTCTATTTTTCATTTTTGAGGAATGGCCATACTCTTTTTCTATAATGGCTATACCATTTTGCATTCCCACCAGGAGGGGGGTCCCCGTTTTGATAATCATTTCAATAACAAAGCATTAAACTAGATTAAAGTTAAGATCTTTTCATCACTCTGTGCTATTAGTGATGCTGTGATTGGAATAAAATACAAGGAATTATTAATCTGTATAATAATTATTTGAATATGGTGGTTGTTCAGAAGGAAGATACCAGTGTGGTCTGCAACTGCTGACATAGGCTTCCTGGAAGACACAGGGCTTTCCCAGTCCCTGAGGAGCTGATAGTATCTATAGGATGGGCAGAAAGTACAGTAAGAACATATGGTTGTACAGGGGGCAGGCAAAAAAGATTAAAGTCCTACCTGCTGTTCCTTTTCAGTTAAAACCTGAAAGAATGAGGATTCTTCATATGAGGTGGTCATATGAGGTAGTGAGGCATGAGGTAGTGCTTTTCCCATCCTTCCTAGAACAATCATCTTATACACACATTTGAGCTGCACAGCCCAGGTAACTTAGTGATCTTTTAAGCTGGAAAGGTTGGTGTGCTGACTCTGCCAGTAGTAGATAAAACCATGCAGAAGTGCATTAGTGGTTTCCATACTTGAAAATGTAGTAACCTCACTGTATTTTATCTTTCATAAAGTGATGTTTATTATTCACATTCTTCCTATTACTGATCCCGCATAGAAACTCCTAAGTTGGATGATAAAACCAGTCCTCTGAAAATATGATTGTAATGGTCAAGTAGATGATTGCTGAGGCAAGATAGATTTTTACTTGGGAGAAGTAGGGCTTTGTATATGTGCATGTGTATTTAGTGTTTGGTTTATTGGTAATAGTGGTTTCTTTTGGAAGAAGGCTAAGGAGACAAAAGACTAATACAGAGAAAACCAATACGAAGAGAATATGATAAATTTAATTCTGTAAGATACCTTAAAAATGGTTTTCCACTGCTAATTTAAAAAAACTTTCTGACAAAGAACTGTAACATTTCTTTTTCAGACTGCACTGGCCCATTTAGAGTCCCTTGCAGTGGATGTTGAGGTGGCCAATCCACCAGCCAGTAAGGAGAGCATCGATGGCCTTCCCGAGACCCTTGTTCTTGAAGATCACACTGGTAAGTGCAAAGCTGAATGACGTGTACATGTAAGTTTTCAGCACACCTAGAACAGTGGTGGCAAACCCTGTGGCATGCGTGCTGTTTGTTAGCATTGAAAGCACTAAAAGTTTTGCCATCACTGAAAGAAGATGAAGTAGTTGACTCTTGAAACTTTACTCAGGCAGCCTGTAGAAACCAGATACTGACAAACTTTCACTCAGTAGGGTAATTTTTTTTTATTATTATTCATTAAGTTTATTGGTACACTTTAGATCTATAATATGGTGACATTCATCATTGGGAATTAGTAGAAGAATATTTTTAATGTATTGAAAAGTCAACTTTTCTAACAAAACCAATCAGTGTTCATTAAATTCCAAATTGTCATGTATTAAACATACGCATGTTTGTCAATTAAAATGTGTTTTTTTGTCTTTTCATAGCTGTATTGATTTTACTGTATTGATTTTTAATTTTTTTTAATTCAAGTTAGGTAATTGATAGATCTAAATTATTGGTTATTTTCAGCTATTGGTCAGGAGCAGTGCTGTCCAATCTGTTGCAGTGAGTATATTAAGGATGATATAGCAACAGAGTTACCCTGTCACCATTTCTTTCACAAACCTTGTGTCTCAATTTGGCTACAAAAGGTAAGTTTTAGGTTTACTTTATCTTACAAGTTAATGATAACAGTAATGTCTTTTAAGACTATTATATTTAGCTACAATTCTGTAGTACTTCAGAATTTTTTTAAAAAATTTATTGGTGCATTTAAGGTATACAATATGACATTCATCATTGGAAATTTGTACCTTTACATAATCCATCTTGGTTCTTATTTATTCCTGTTACCCTGCCCTCCCTTCAACACCTCCACCCCTCCCTTTCTACAAAGACTTTCTTTCCTTTTTTTTTCTTTTTCTCATGTTAATTCCATTCCCTTCTTTCTTTCCCCTTACTCCTCGCACATCCCCTTCCCCTTTGCACCTTTTCTTCCCATTTCATGTTATCTATTATAGTCCTTATTTACACTGTCAGTTTATTTACACATATGCATCCTATTTATTTCAGTTGAGTATCACCTCAGTATTCATTTAGCCATCAATGTCTCTAATTTCTCATTCTTTATGGCTGAGTGCTACTCCATTTTATTTAAAAAAAAAACAAAACAAAAAACATTTTCTTTATCCTGTCTCCCGTTAATGGGCAGTTGTGCTGCTTCCAAGTTGTAGCTATCACGAATTGTGCTACTATGAACAGGGGTACACATATATCATAGTGGTACAATTCTTTGAATTCTTTAGGGAAGACACCCAGCAGGGGGATAGCTGGGTCAGATGGGACCTCCAATCCTAGTTCTTTGAGGTACCTTCATACTGATTTCCACAGTGGTTGCACCAGTCTACATTCCCACTAGCAGTGGAGCAAGTTTCCTCTGTAGTACTTCAGAATTAAAGACTGGTTGCCTTTAATGTTACAGATCCGGATGATATGGAACTATTTTACTTTACAGTACCAACATTTCATAAAGCCAATGGAAACCACAGTAATTACTGTACTTCTTATTGCAGCCTTGAAATTTGTTTTTAAAAATATCTCAAGCAAGATATTTATGACACTACTCAGATTGTACTATAGCCATATAAATAGGTATTCAGCTAGTGTGGGCTGGTGCTTATGAGAATTTGTATGAAAGAAACTTAATTGCCTATCTACAGCCACCTATTCTGGTTTTGTTATAATGTCCTTACATATGTACCCAACAATTTAAGCATATTTGAATTATTTACGAAATGAAAGTTTTACTGAAATCTTCTCCATAATCTGTATTTTTGCATGAAAAATATTTACCAACTAGTAGAAATTCCCAAATCACCTACTTTAATGTTACAGTTCTCTCTCTTAATAGCTGTTGTTTTCCTTTTCTCTATTTTTTCTCCCCTCTCCTTTCCTTCTCCTGTTTTCTTTTCCTTTTCTTCTGTTTTCTTTTACTGCCGCTTCATCTTCTGAAAACTCTATTTAAAATCTCTGAAGTCCAATGCAGAAGTGTTCACTATTCCTATATGAAATCAAATTCGTTATTCAGTTGTTGCTTTTAGCTCCTCTTATGTCATTGTGCATAATTTGTGTTGTAGCTTTATTTTTACAAAGCATTATTTGCATATTTTTCCATTTGCTACAATCTTGTTATCTCAAATCCCCTTCCCTACTACCTCCACCTGCTCAATAACCAGTATTCCCATCTGATAATATATACATCCACAGTTTTTCCAGTTTTTCATTTGATTTCCCATTTCATCCTCACAATAGCTTGAGGAAAGACTAGTATCCTTATTCCCACTTTTTAGCAGTTGTTACCCATCCAAGGTTACATGGCTCTTATCTGTTTGACTCTAAAATGTTGTTGTTAGGGCCTAGTCTGTATGGTAAATGCACAGTAAATGTTTACTGACCTAAATTCTTAAATTGTTAACATTATACCTGTTGTACAATCTTGAATTATACTTGACTTTGCTCTAACTCCAGGTAACAATATGTTCAGTCTGTGTCCCATGAGGAAACAGCTTAGGGTGAAACCTTTCCTGGTTTCCTCCAGGAAGAAAGTTATCAAGATACAGTTCTTTATTAAAGCTCAGTATCATGACGTCTTCAGCCTGCCTTCTGTCAGGAAAATCTCTTTGGGGAAAAGAACAGATTTGAAAGGGAATGATCTGCTTGGCTGAAATTTTGGCCAGAGTTTCTTAAAATGTAAAATCTTACATGTAACCCTCCCTGAAATAGCTGGTAAATTATTTAATAAACAGCAGGAGCCCTTAATTTAAAGATTGGTAAAGCTCTGTTATCTTCCATTGGTTCTAAAATGGGCTCCCAGTGTACTTGCTTCCCCTTCATCACCTTCCATGCCAATTCTGTGGTTAATTAGGTTGATTTGTGTTTTCATGCATAAAAAGGTACCTACGAGTAACTCCATCTCTTTCTGGAAAGATACTACATGGCTTAGAAAGAAAGATCTGAAGCCCATCTGCTTTGACATATCTATGCTACACTAAAGTGAGGCTTTAATATAATATATGCTAAGAAAGTTCCTGGAGGAAATAAACTTGGTGACATAATGGATGTTGTTTCTCTAATATGTGCATAATAGATACACTTCAGTCCAGTTCATTGTTTGGCCAACAACTCAGACCTCTGTGAGGATATATGATACGTTTTTTTTGCCCACCTTCTAACACAGCACAAGTGCCAAGCATAAAGAGTTTTAATTAAAATTCACCAAAGGAAAGGTGAATTACCTTTCTTTGTGTGTGTGTGCGTGTGCATGTGCGTGTGTGTGTGAGAGAGAGAGATTCTAGGGATCTAACTATAAAGAGTTTTAATTAAAATTCACCAAAGGAAAGGTGAATTACCTTTCTTTGTGTGTGTGTGCATGTGCATATGCGTGCGTGTGTGTGAGAGAGAGAGATTCTAGGGATCTAATTTAACTCAGGGCCTGGTACATAGTAGTCAAACACTGAACTACACTTCACCTCTTCAGTGAACTATGTTAAAATTAGAAACATGATGAATAGGAAGAAAAGGGAAGGTAGGAGGGGGTGAAGGGAGACCTGTCATGTAAAGGTACAAGATCCCAATGATGAATGTAACTGTACTGTATACCTAAAATGTACCAATAAACTCAATGAGAAAAAAAAATACGATGAAGAAAAACTAGAAAAATAATCATGAGATGTTTACTGTCAAAGAAATTATAGAGTAAATAATGTTAAAATTTTGTCTTTGTATGTTGTATAGGTTAGACATTTATTTAGTTCTTAAAATAGTTGATTTGTTATTTTGACAATGATACTATCTTTCCTCTATCGAGATACGTGCATGGCAGTTAATGTGTGTCTGGTGGCTATTAATGTGTCTCTTCTCTCAGTCGGGAACGTGCCCCGTGTGCCGCCGTCATTTCCCACCTGCAGTTATTGAAGCATCTGCAGCTGCTTCCTCTGAGCCTGATCCGGATGCCCCACCTTCAAATGACAGCACTGCAGAAGCCCCCTAAACCTTGAATGGAAATGAGATCAGTCTATCAGAGTAAATCTTCAAATTTCTTCTAAATCTGATGTGCAAAGAATTATATATAAATATATTTAAAGTGCTATATATAGTCTATGCCATAGTTTAGAAAGAAAATACTAACTTTCTAAACTGAATTTAGGTTTGCAGAAAGTACTAAACATTTCCAAGCTGAATGTTAAAGCAGTGCATCATTTTCTTTAGTTGAATATGTTGATACTAATTGTAGAGTCAAGCTTATCAGTTAATTCTCTCCAAAAGAGATAGTCATCTATGTGGCACGTGTTACTGGTTTTGTCTAAAGAACTGCCACTAAGAGATTATAGTTAAGCTCTCGTGTTCACATCAGATGTGAAGACTGTGATCACAACAGTACTAATATTTGGTTTCACTTGAAATAAACTGTAAAACATGGTTTTCATGGGCCCTTTGTTTTTTGCTATACCCAAATCTCTTGGTTCATAATACTGAGAAGTTCTTTAGAAATGTTTCTACTTTTCCATGTTTGTTTACCATTGGGACTTTTCAGTGCCAAAGACTAAAATTTTGGCCAGAACATCACAAGATTTAAAATCCTAGAATGCTCCCTGAAATAGATTGTAAATTATTTAATAAACAGTTGGTGTGCTTACTGTAAAGATTAGTAAAGCATATAAAGAATTGGTGTGCTCAGTTCTTAGTACAATGAGATGAATTAGGTGGCCTTATGAAACAGGTTGATCTTCCCCAACCTGTTTGTACTTCGTTAAAATTATACTTGAAGGTCCAGAACACTCCTGGCATATTTGCTTAATAAGTATTGGATGTAGTTAGTTTCAAGTGATTTGGTTTGGGAGTATTTTGAGGAGGTCTGAAATTTTGCACAGGGTCATCTTGAATTATCTAACCCCAAACCATAATTGCACAGCTTCTTTTAGGTGATCACACACAGTAGGCAAGTTTGTACAAGTGTGGGCAGAACAGCTCACTTCAGATGTGATATGATAATCAACACTAGAAAACAATGGCTTTTAGAAAATCACGTTTGAGCAAGTAAAGTAGTAAAGCACATAGTGAGTGTACATCCATCCAAGTGGTCCATCAACAAATTTAGTTTGAGGTGTGTTTCTGTGGCTTTCCAAATGCAGAATTTCATTTTATTTGTGTAGTTTTTCTGAGTATTTATATTTTGTCTCTTTTCTCCATTCTTAAAAATAAATGAATTTTCACTGTTGACACATTTGAGGCTTAAATATAAGGAACATAACATTTGCATTCTAATTTTTGCATATATTGTAAATGTGTCTGGTATTTACAGCAAAATACTGTGTATCCTTTTATGGGTAAAACAAAAGTGAACATTGCATGCATGTAATGTGGTAATTTGTAATTTAGGGGTTCTTTGGGGCTTCTGTGACTTGGGAAATGCTTACATTCAGGCCTTAATGTTGCATTAGCTAGCATGTTTTCCTTGGGATGTACATAGTCACTGTTGTATAAACTAATCTTTGCCTGTTTTCTACTATGTGATCTTTCCATACCATATTTCATTGATGATCAGTTAGTGTCAAGGAGTCAAATCAGATTAAAATTAATTCTCATGTGTATATTGTGGAAATACGTGGCTAGTGTGATTTTTTTTTTTTTCCTTTCAAGTAGCGTTGATCAGTTGTGACACTTACTGGTTAAACTTACATTGCTACAGATGTCTTTGTAATAAGCCACGCATTATATTTAGACAGTATTAAGGGACCTTGGTTTTCTTTTCCTAGACAGCAGCTATCCCAAAGAATGTACTTGGGGGTTTTTTTGTTTTGTTTTGTTTTGTTTTTTGTTTTAGTTTTTTTGCCTGTTAAGATTTAACAGTTATCTGCCAGTTGTTAAGAGGTTTTTGGTCCAAGCTCAACCAGCAAGTGAGCTAAATTTAAGATAGCTGTTGTACTTTTTGCTTTCAATCCGTTAACTGTCCTATATTGTTGATTCCCTACTATCTACAAACAGCTGCCATGAAGAAAATTTGAGGGCCAGGGATTTGGCTCAGTAGTTTTGCCACGTGCCTCACAAGTGCAAGGGCCTGAGTTCAATCCCCAGTACTAAAAAAATTTTAAAAAGTAAAAAATAGTTGGTTTAAAATTTTAAAAAGAAAAAAAAATTGAAGTTTTAGGCTTTTGTGGTAACAAACCAGTATAAGCTGAGGCTGACAAGTTCAGACCCCAAATTATTATTTGACCTTACCTTGGATTCTTTTGGAAAAAAAAGTTAAATATGAAGGTAAATTAGAAATAAGTATAAATATGAATAAAGTATCATTTATCTTATTTCTCTATGTTGTGACTTGACTTAATTTTATTTTTGAACATTTTCTTTTTTTCTTGTAATATGAACACTGATATTTAAAGTTAGATTCATGTGTTTTCTTTTGTGTTTAATTGTTTATCTCTAAGCTAACTAACTCTTGTGATCTGGACTTATATATAAGCTGTTAAATATATATGAACTGTTAAAGTGGAATACAAGTTTTTTGAAAGCCCAGGTCTAAATGTAATGATTGGTTTATTGTTCTATAATGCCAGCCCATAATTTTAAGTGTAAATCATAAACAATAAACAAGATATACTCGGTGGTCATTTCTAATATTTAATTGTGTAATCGTATCACTTCTGTCACATAACCCTGAATGATTCAGAGTTAATAGCAAAGAACAAAGACACATGACTTTTTAGGTCTTGAACTCTAATCTAAGAAGGCCCTCCAGAGACCCCCACAGAAGTAGTGGTGGACTTCTGCTGTTGGAGGGGCTCTGCAGTAGTAGGTGGCCTTCCTCTCTGGCATTATTAACAATCCTGTAGATTTCAGTAGAACTTGGTTCCCATGTTGTTTCAGAACTGCAGAAATGCAACTGTCCAGGAGAGACTTTCCTCACTTCATTGGCTTTCTCCAAATAAAGCGACGGGCTGTTACCAGATCTACGTGTTTAGAAAAATTCCTTGTGACTTATAAATGGTTCAAAGTCTTCAGTCACTTCAGAAGGGTCAGTTGGTGATACAAGAGTATGTTCACGGGCTTGGGATTTAACTCAGTGGTCCCACCACCTGCCTCATAAGCCCAAGGAGGACCCGGGTCCCGAGTTTGATCCCCAGTACAAAAAAAAAGAGTACATTCACCTTAAATTGAACAAAAACTAATCATTTTGTTTAGAACTTTTGGAATGTTTAAAATTCTACTTCCCCCTAATAAGAAAAAAATGTACTAGAGAAAGTCTCAGAGCTAAAAGTAGCAGTATTACTGTTTGCTGTAGCACCAAAATCATTTTATAATGACATAATTTTTATCCAGCCATTGCTGGATGAAGCCTGTCTTAGTTACTTTCTCATCGCTGGGGCACAACACTTGACACGCACAACTTGAATGAGGAAAGATTTATTTTGACTCAGTTTGTAGAGGTTGCAGTTCATAGTAGGCTGGCTCCAAGGTAGAATGGCATGGCAGTTAGGAAGCAGAGAATGATCCAGATTGGTAGAGGGAGATAGAGCCTTCCAGGCCTCACCCTTTGTGCCCCACTTTCTCTGACCAGGCTTTACCTCCAAATCGCATTTAGCTATAAACTTGTCAGTGGACTAATGCACTAATCAGTCTACTGCTGAGTGTCACACACCTATGATCCGGTCACCTGCCAAAGCCCCACGTCTCACTTCACGAGGCTTGTGGGGGGCGGGGAGTGCGTCTAGATAGAAACCATAACCGAGCCACATGGTAACCCTACAAGGGATTGTTTTCATTGTTAAGAGCATGTCAACTTTCTCTGTAACACATTTGAAGTGACAAAAGAGTTGTCTTTTCTGGGTGGCCACCTCTTTGCATCCTCTTAGGGTTTAAACTTGATACAAGATACCTATTCCAGACCAACCTGGGATTGGCTTTTCAACTCCCCTTAAAATAATGTTGCTCAGAACTAAAGGTGATTTTCCTATAGTCTGACAAGAACAGGGTTCAAAGGTAATATTGCCAACTTGAAAATGATTCTCCTATAGCTGTTGTGGTTTGTATGTTGTATTATTAACATCATTTTTAGGCAGGTATATCACATAGTTATTTCTTGCAGAAGTACTTCACTGCGTTGTTGGTTAGTCATTGTCCACCCCTAAAGTTACTTAAGTAATTTCTTAATCTAACTGAGGATAATATTCATCCTTACCAAACTTAATTTGTGAAGGTCCTTAGTATAGGAGTATAATTATAATCTGCTGGTATATTGAGATAAAGGAAATGAAGTTAGCTGGAAAGGATCCACTCTTAGTGAAACTATCCTACCACCCTTTTTAACTGCTCACCATGCCATCTATTTAATAATCTGTCCTAGAATTTGGTAAGTGAACAATGTCGAGCTCATTTTAAAATTTTTTGGAATCTACCTTTTCCTCTCTCAAAAACTATTTGAAAGAATATGACCTTGACAAGTCATAATTGCTCGTTTCTATTTTTATTATATTTATCTAGATAATGGGTTTGGATTATTCATTGAAACAAGCACTGCCTTTTTGGAGTCTGATACACATTTCAGATATAAATGCATCTTAATTGCCTCAGGGTTAATTTTTGACAGGGAAACTTTATTAAAATAATCAAAATAAAGTTTAATTTTCTTATTAATTTTGCTAAAAAACTATAGACCTTGCTAGCAACTGTCTTAGTCACTTTCTTCATTTACTGGGACACAATATCCAGCATCCACAACTTAAAGGAGAGGTTTATTTTGACTCCGTTTCAGAAGTCTTAGTCCTGGGATGTTTGGCCAGCTCCCAGGCAGAAATGGTATGGTGGGAGAGCCTGCTGTGGAGGAAAGCTTTTCATGTCACAGTGGCCAGGACACAGAGACAAGCCAGAGAGGGATCCAGATCATACCCGAAGTGACATGACTCTTCCAACCAGTCCCTACCTCCTGATGGCACATTGTGCTGTGAATGCGTCAGTATTAGCCCATTGATAAGTCTAGGGTTCCGCGATCCAGTCACCTTCCAAAAGCCCTGCCTCGTGAATATTTGGGGAAACGTTCTAGAGCTAAGCCATAATACAAATTAATAATGATAGGAATGTGGCAGTTTGTTCCATCTTAGATTCTTAGTTTATAATTGGTATAGTTTGGATAGTGAAAAGTGATTGGCTGAATGTCTTTGTCTCAGCCACTCATTGTCAGAAATTCTGCTTGCCACTATGATTTCTTTTCCTTTTACTGTATTTTATAAGATTATTTTTTAAAATACACTTTTACATAATAGTTCTTATATATGATGTACTTACTAGGTATTAGACTTAGTGTAAGACACTCTTTGCTAGTCTTCATGATAAATCTGCAGGATTAGTTTTATTATCCCAACTTTATTAAAAAAAAAATCCTAGAGATGACCAAGGATCCCTGGTTCTTAAGACAATGGGGCTTCTTTCCACTTCATGCCACCTTCCTGGATAGATGTAGCCTATGTGGTCAGTGTTGTTATGGGAAAAATTGGGTTCTGTTCAAAATTTGGAGAATTATTTTGTTTTTCCTTCTCATATTACAGTGTGGTCTCCATATTCATGTATTCATGGGTTCTGAATTTGTAGGGTCACCAAAAGCAGAAGAGAAATAGTCTTTAAAAAATACATCTGTATATAATATAGTAACATCTTTGAAAAGACTAGTTAATTTTAAATTATTTTATTAAAATTTTATCTGTACTGAACACATGAAGGCTTCTTTTTTCTATTTATCATTCCCAAAACAATAGTTATGAGCATTTACATTATATGGAGTATGGTATTATAAGTAATCGAGAGATGATTTAAAGCAGTGTATATGAAAATGTGTAGGTTATATGAAAATACTCTCATTTTAATCAAAATACTTGAACATCTGGAGATTTAGAGATCTGCAGGGATCCTGGAACCAGTCATACCAAAGGATAATTTTTATCTGTGTTATAGAGAAGCATATTTTCTAATGTGGTTCTGGTTAGTGAAATTTCTTAGTCACTGGTTACACATAAGAACTTCTTACCTTTGCCTGATCATTTGCGATCTTTGAGTAACGTTTCATACTGTCTCTGGCCTGAGAGGTGTGTAGTCTCTTCAGCCAACAAGACCCAACTAATGCAAACATAGATAATATACCCTTG